TCTGTTGTTTGTTTTTTTTTTTGTTTTCAACTCCCCCGGGCCCCTAAAACCCAAAAAATTACCCAACGGTTATAACACCCCAAAAAAAAAAAAAAAAAAAAAAAAAAAAAAAAAAAAAAAAAAAAAAAAACTCACCTCAACGTTCCAAACGCGAGCTTTTTTGTCCTGGGAGCAGGTGATGAGTTTGGTATCATCCGGACTCCAGCTGGCATGGGCCACTCCGTCGTCGTGATCCATCAACTTATGAATGACGGCAAACGTTGTCGTGTCGTAAATGATGACGCTATGGTCCCGGCCAGCCGTGACTAACTTCGTGCCATCATGGGAGAATTGACAGTACCAGACTTCGTCGGAGTGTTGGTTCAGTTCGATCCCTGTCCGAAGCGGGAAATCATTGCGGTCGCACGTATGGTCCGAGTACAATGACGGGGGAGATGCGGTGTTGTGATATCGGCATTGGTTAATTTGATTTTGCTTGACGTGATTGAGCAATATAGCCAGGCGATTATCTGGAATCATCACGGACGGGGAGATGGATTCTGGCGGTGGTTAGTTCTGCAAGTGTGTAGAATATGAAGGCTGGGGTACTCACTGGATAGATCTGATAAGAGTTGTTCCCGCGAAAAGGCCATTGGGCCGTTCAAGCCAACCTGATCGCGAAGATGCTCAGGAGGGCACATGAGAAGACTTTGACAGCAGTTAGCATAAATGCTCGTGGGCAGATCATAGACAACTTTGGAAGTTGAAACTCACCTGGATAGAGCATGAAGACGGGCAATATCGTAGTTGAGAGGCGTCAGTTCGTGGCGAAGAACAATGAGTGCAGCTGCGAGATCACGGCTCTCCAGCATTTCCAGGAACTTCTGCTGTCGGAGGTAGAAGAGCATCTCGTTCAGCTCGGCATCCTCCACCAGCACCAATCGCTCCTTCGCAGGTGTGTAATCCCGACCGTTACTTAACGACCGCCCATTTCCATCTGGATAAAACGAATGTATCAAGATCTTCTCGGCCTCGGCCCATCGCCCATCCAGCACCGCACCCCGGAATGTAGCAACGCCAGCACTTTCCAGCTGATAACCACTTTCCTTGCTCAGCATCGACGCCGATCCATTGTACCCCAGCTCGAACAAACTCTGGATCAGAATCCGGGTGACTTCCTCTCGATCATGGCCGAAATATGTCGAAGACGCGGGGGGTAGTTTCTGCGACCCGTTCGTGTGCAGATCACCGTTGGACGCAATAAACGAGGCCTGGCCATTCAAGGCATGAGAAAGACCCGCCTTCTGGGACGGGGACGCAGTGGAGCCGTTAGACGCATGAGAAGGACCATTCAGACTCGAAATTCCATCCGGACGCATATTTGCCAGGCGCCTGCGCTTGGGGGATGGCGAACGGCCTTCTGATAGGGTGCGGGACTGGATACTGGAGTGATCTGGAAAACTGGCCTCGCTTGCCGTGCGTTCTCCCAGGCGACCGCCTGTTATACCCTCGGTAGTTTCTCCGGAAGTCTCGGGGGTGCTACTGCGGCGACGACGGCGACGGGATGACGACGAATTCAAGCTCCCGTTCACGCGGGCAGACCTGCGGTAACCGTCGACGAAGGATACGGGATTTGAGGAGGGCGGGAGGTTGCTTGCGGCGGCGGCGGCGTAGCTGTTCGGTCGGGACGAGGAAGATCGGGAGGGGATAGGAGGAATGGGGTGGTCGGGAGCGGCGGAGGGTGTATAGGTGGGTGAATCGTTTGCCAGCTCGAAGGCTTTGTAGATCTGCCCGTTCACCTAGCTCTGTAGAAGAACCAGGGGAGCAGATCTCTTAACAGCGGCGGGTCACTGTGATGCTCGCCGAAGAAGCTCGGGGATTAGATTGTCAAAAGCTCGTCAGAGGCTTGGAGGTCTGCCAATGGTCGGAAAGAAAGAGGGGAAGTAGTCCTTTTTTTTTTTGGTGGTGGTTTTTAATCGTTGGACTGCGAGATAGAAGTCGGTGAGAGAGAAAGAGGAGGGGTGAGGTAAAATGATAAGTTGGGGTAGGGGGGTTGATTGATAGTCGAAGAAAACGCCCCAGGAATGCACGGGCGGAGAGGAGAGGTTCTTATCGGTAAGGTAAGGTGACTTAGTGTCTTAGTGAGGTTCGGGGAAGGCGCCAACGGAGAAGGGACGACGATGTGGAGGGGTGAGGGGAGGAAGGTAGGTAAGTAAGTAGTAAGTACAAGGGAGAGCTTGAGATTCTGTACAAACAGTAAAGAAACAAGAACCGCAGAGAATGAGGGATTTGATCGAAAAGAAGGGAGAGAAGGCAGTAGGAGAGCCGAGAGAGAGAGAGAGAGAGAGAGAGGGAGGGAATCTGCGAGGGAGAGAGTTCGTTAGGAAAGACGAGGTTTCCAAAGCATCGGCGGTTGCAGTCTTAGTTCGCCGTGGGGCGAGTCACGCCAGGGCTTGGGCACGTTATCACGGCAAAAAGTGTGAACCTGGGACCGTTCGAAATATCGGCAGGTCTTGCTTTTAGGTCTGGTCTTTTCTTTTTCTCCCATTCCATGACGGCGCAGTCTTGATTGCCTTCCTCTGGCGTCATCCCGTGGACGTACGTATTCCTACTCCGTAGTAACTCTCTGAGCTACACGGGAAGACCAACGGTCTCAAGCAGCCATCTTCCTTCCCTCAGAACCCTACATGTACGAGATCCAAAAGGGGAACTCAGCAAGAGGTCTATGAGAGCAATAAATAGACAAGCAAGAAAACAGGCGTTTCTAGCAAACACACTGGGCGGTCAACAACACTACGGGCTACGGACTATGAATACCTCGCCAACATAGTACCAGCCAAAACACGCAATACGATTCGATCAGCTGGAATCCCCCCGCAGGTGACTGGTCTCTACGCCAATCTGGAGTCGAGGATAACAGGGAGAAGCTAATTGTAGGCTGACTCGCCAGGGGAAACGGGTATTCGAAGGAGATCAACGCATCACCTGCTCCGACAGATGGGCCATTGTGGTCCGGTGTTGGTGTTCAGACAGTCGACATGATTGACCCTGGCGACTGATACACGAAGCCCAAGCCCAAGCGATCGAGAAAATTGACATGAAAGAAACGAAGGCAAGCTCGTCTCGAAACGAAACGCCCTGAAACCCACGTCAACGGTGGAGACCCGGCCATCTGGTACCAGTGAAGCAGGTCCAGGTGGACTATCAACAGCATCCCGGACGAAACCCCTTGAAAGTTGAAACCCGATCGACTCAATCCCCGCGATCAAGCAGCGCCGTTAGGTACAATCGGATGCATACCCAAGGGGAATGAATTGAAAGGACGGACTCGGGTACATCCGCAATCGTCCGTTTCGGGGGTGCCGGAGTCTTTTCCGGATGAGTCCGAACTTCCGTCGGAGGTCCGTCTAGAGTAGAGGTCGTGATGGACTCGCCTGTAAGGCTAGAGCTCTACTACATGACTTAACCATGATCCATCTCTCTGCAAACATCCTCAGATCTAGAATATGGAGCGACGCTGAAGAATGAAAGGTTACACCGAATGGCGGGGATCTGACCTCATGATGATGCTTTCTGCTTCCCCACATCCCTTTATATCTTCGGCGGCGGTCCCGTCTTTTGCCATTCTTTATTCAACCATCTACCTCACTCCAACCTTAAAACACCTTCAGAACAACCTCACACCTCACTTCAAACCCTACATCATGGCTTGCGACTGCAGCAGCGGAGGCTCCTGCGGGTGCTCTGGTCCTCAGAACTGCACCTGCGGTCAGTCGTGTACCTGCAAAGGATGTGGCGTATGTAGCGCCCCTGGAATCGTTGGAATGCACGAGGCTAACCCGTTGGCCCTTACAGAAGTAATTGCCTCCCACATTCTACTGTCGATTTGAACTGGATATGGAAGTGAAAATGAAATGAATGATGCAGCTTACGAAAAGGAGAATGAAGTGGATGGGAAGGAGTTTGTACTGTACACAGATTATACTGGATGCGTGATGATCCTTAACAGTCTATGATCTGAATTAACATATCGAGTTCATATCTCAAATCATCTTCGCCCCTTGTATTCACATGGCGCTCTTATACTCCAGCACGGCCTGCGACGCCTTGAGAGCTCCCGTAATGCTGAAACAGATGAACGGCGACAGCGCGTACAGAATCTATGCTAGTTAGCCTCTGTCTTTAATTTAATATGGTGGAATACTCACCATCAACGTCTTCGCAACGGCCATCTTCTCCGCCTGCGATACCTTAGCCAACTCCGCCAGCCCCGAAATGACCAGCGCCGGCGGTCCGGCCGGCATCAGCATCAGACTGAACCAGAGGATGGGATCTGTTCCAAATAGATCCGTGCGTCTCGCAAGGAGGTAAATCAGTGAGATACTCAATCTATCTTTCATTAGCATGTATCGCTCCACCAAGGATAAGTCTCGATAGAAAAGCACTCACGCCGGCCACAAAACCAACCGCACGACAAAAATCGTCGCGACGGCCTTGAACGGCGTTCGGCCCGAAGCAGCTCCTCCACGGCCTCGCATCTGCTCAAAGCTGATGCCGAGCTTACCCCCCACCACAAATATCTGCAGGGTTGTGAACAGCTTCCCGACATTCTTCACGCTAGACGTCAGCCACGCATTGAAGATTCCTCCGTCCTCATACGACGCAAAGAACGCCTTATGCAATTGCGGCACGAGACCTAACACTGCGCCTAACAGCGTACACCCGATCGCCACATCCGTGAACGGCGATTTGAACGGCGTCAGAATCTCCTGTCCTACGCGACGCAGCGACACTGAGGCTCTAGACATCCAGTCCTTCAGCCTCGACCCCAACCCTCGTTCACGCTTCAACGGCCCATACCTAGCCAGCAAAGACGTCTCCTCATCAACCCCTTCACCGGGGTAGGGGTAGTGGTACCCTTCTACGCGGGACCGTCCCTCTTCCTCGGCATCATCATCACCTTCCCCTTCCCCTTCATCCTGCTCATCCCCCTCCCTCAACATCTTCGGCCCAACCGCATACCCAATCGTTTTGCTAATCACAGCACAGAGCAGGAAATAGCTTTGCGCGCGCGCAATCGCATCAGACTCGGTATCTCCATCCTCGATGATCAGCTTCAAACTGCCCACGCTCTCGAGGCTCTGGAGCAGAAGCAGTGGGAGCGAGGTCGTGTTGTTGAATGCGCACGCGGGAGTCACCCACGCTGGGAGTTTCAGGATCTTGGAGATCACGTACGCGAGACCGATTGAGATGGTGGTGTAGATTATTGACCATGCTGTTTTGGGTAGGGTTAGCGTTTAGCGATTAGCATTCGCATGGTTACTCGATTAGATATTCCGACTCCTTTATAGAAGAAGAATACATACCAACAACAGGACCATAATTGGCCAAATTCCCCAACTCCAACTGCTCACCCAGATGCACGACAATCAGGGCCGGAAGAAGCAATTTCATGCCTAATCCGGCGATATCATCAATGGAGGATTTCTGGATCAAGCGGAGTCGTTGCGCCGCGGCCCCGTAGGCCATTGTGAGCAATACTGAGACGCATGCTTGGAGGGCACCGAGAAGGGGCACGATGATCCCCTTGTCCATTTTTTTGGTTTCTTTCTATCTTTCTTTCTTTCTTTTTTTGGTGTTGGGTTCTGTGTAAAGGGGGTTGAAGGTTTATTCAGGGATTAGGCACTATGTTATTTTATATTATTTTTTTTGGTGATGGTTTATTTGGTTTTCTTTTGTTCCTCGTTGGATGTCGTCATAATTGCGATGACGATGGGTATCGTATCCGGATTTGACTTGGTTTGGGATACTGTCATACAACACGAGAGAAGTTTAGATAGTTCTAAACCTGGAGATTGAATTTCAGATCTCGAATGTTGGATGAAAATAATTGGTCGAAGACAAATAACGTTAGATAAGTTTTCTAAAACCGTCCCTACTATAGACCTAGCATGAACTATATATCTACCTACCATTTAACTTCCCTTCCCCATACCTTCCACCCATATACTTAGTATTGACTCGCACATTCTGACAACCCCCTCAATACAACTACCTAAACAAGCATCCCAGTCGTCAACATCTTTAGACCAAACACCGTTCCGCAAAACAACGTCAACACGGTCATGAGACCGGCCAGCAGACCTAGGTGCGCTAGATGTTCGATCCCGTACTGTGTTGCTTTGATCTGGTTGCGTTTCCCGAGTTTCGTGGTGCGTGTGTAGAACGGCACGTACTTGAACTCGAAGAAGGATTCGCCGCCTAGTCCTTCGGTTTTGTCGGTGATGAGGGTGTAGTAGAGTCTGCGACGGAACTGGGTGGGTTTTATGTTAGTATTGGATACGTGTGTTTAGTAAGGCGGGAAGCGGAAGATAGACAGAGACGGGAGGAGAGAGAAAGCATACAGCAATAAACGTTTGATCCAATCCCGGAAACAATCTCACCCCATAACAAACGCCCATCACAACAAAACAATACCCATAAATCAGCGCCCGATAGTACCAACTCGGCCGCGGTAGATCCAGCCGATCAGACAACATATGACCATTCAGGTGTCTGGCCATGGCCTCCATGAACTCCTTGGACGCATACGTTGGCGCCGTATTCTCCAACCCGAGAATGATATTCTGCGCTAGGATCTTCCCTACATCTGTCGGGTTGATCTCAGACACAAGGAGCGACTCCATCATCGCGCGACCGGTCGCTTGCGATCGGAACGGCTCCGTCGGCGTCCCCATGTAGTATGCGACGAGACGCCACAGGGCCAGATAGTCGTTGATTTCCCCGTCGCGGAGCCAGATGCCTTGCCGGGGAAGACCGATCCAGATGACGCTCGTCGAGAAGGTGTTGATGGTGGCGATGCAGTCGAGGTCGCTGATGGGGATGCCGTATTCCTCGACGTTGTAGTATTCAGGACGCTGTGCGACGAGCTTGAGGATTCGGGAGCGCACTGAGGCGTGGAGGAGTCGGACCCGGACGGACGAGATGTGGCCGTCTCCGCCGGGCTTTATGGACTTGAGAGATAGAGATACTTGGAGGACGTGTTGAAGGGTCTCGAGTAGTCGGCGTCGTACTACGTCTGCGGAAAATCCGCCGGTGCGGGTTAATGTCTCGACAACGCGTCCGGAGCCCCTGATGATGTTAGTTAGGTGGTCTAAGTATAACTGGAGAATACTAACATGCCGCCCAAGAGGCTTTCGAAGCTCAGCTATACCATGACATAGCCTCTTATTAGCAATGTCCCATCTAGTCAGCCCAGCCCCGTGAACTATAAACTCACCACATTGAGTATCGGAAGCCCATAACGAAAAAACACTTCCTGTCCTCGTTTGATCTGGTCCCAGTCTACCCACTCCGGGACGGTGTTGATCTCCGTCCACAGCTGGTCGAGCTTAGGATCCTCTTTTGCATGTTCCTCAAGCAGAGAATACAAATCCCTCTTCGGTCCTTTCGATGCCTCTGGTGGCCCAGATGCAGATCGAGGAGCACTCTTGGGCGGCGAGATCTCGTCCAGGCGCTCGAGACATTCATCAACCAGCTTGTCGTACGTGAACATCCTGGGCTGGAGCTGCTCTGGGGAGGTATGAAGGTCCGTCCAGCGAAACGAGTAACCCCAGTGGTGGTAGATATCACCTTTGTCGTGTTTGGACGTGGGGTGAGCCATCTTTGCAGTAGATTAACAAGGCGAAACCGTTAGTCTAGACAACAAATGAAGAGTGTATAATATTCCATGCAAGACAACAAAAGTCAATATTGTAAAAGAAACGAGTCTACACAACAAACCCCATCGGCACTGCTTGTGCAAATCGAGGGTTTATAGACATGGCATTACCCCCTTCCCCCCAGCTCACATGAGCACAGTGAAGCGCGAATACCATGATGATACAAAAGAGAGCAACCGAGAAGCCACGGAGAAGCCATGGAACGAGGTAGTGCAAGGTCCTATTCCTATTTGTGTAGCACCGTCTTAGGGCATGTGAACCGGCTCCAAGGCCGTAGTACCGTGCGGGGAAACGATGAAGATTGGACGGATCCACAACGATCATCGCCCGCTGACACATGGGCAGATTCATTCGATGCATTCGCTAGTTGTGTTTTTGGTGTAGGCAGATTTTCTGGAGAATGTGACAGCCTTTATTCCTCAATTGGTGTGGAAGTTGACTCAGAGAGGATGCTCCGATCCCTCCGGCTCGCAGAAGTCAGGATTCAGTAAGGCACTGCGTCCATGAGACTGCCATCAAAGGACTAATATAGGAAAGCCTTCCATATAGACCTGGCCGCCATTTGATAGAGAGGTAGCCAGCGGCGGGATTCGATTCTTAACACTCTCAGGGGCAAGCTCATTGATGCCCAAGTTATGGATTTATAGGCGGATATCCCCCTTGTATACTCTCAATTTTTTGTTGACCAGATTTAGATGTACACCCGCCAGAATGGCTTTCCTTGAGAGAGACCCAGGTCAGTATTCACAGTCTCTCGGAATATTTAACCTCGCCGCCTTTGACCGCTGCGCCATGACCAGCAGGTGGAGATGCCGTCAATATTGGTATTGGCCGTTTGAACATGTCCAGGCACTGCAGGCAGTCCATCGGAGAAAAAGCAATCAATCAATAATAACTACCTCCCATCCGAAAATAATTGATCCAAGTCACAGATCGACCAAGACCGGCACGGGGGACGAGCGACTACCGGTAGTTAACTAGTTAGCACCCGGGCTGAGTAACCTTCCAAGACAGTCAAGACCAGATTGGACATTGGGCTGAACTCTCCTCCCAATCATTATTATTATTGGCAATCCGTATGTTAGGCTTGGGAGTGCGTCGACTGAAATCTCGCCCCTCCTTGCTGGATCTGATCGCCGGACAGGGTGTTGAGCAAGAGCAGCAGCAGCAGCAGCGAGAGAGAGAGGCAGACGGATCGAGGTCGTCATCACCGCCCGACCGCCCCGTGCCACCGCCCGTTTCGTCCACCTTCCCCAGCAGCACTCACAGCTCCGACGACTCCTCTCCCTCCACCTCCCTTCCCACTGTCCCCATCCACCTTCCTGTTTCACACACCATGGCCTCATCCAAGAGAGCCGCTGACACCGACGACGCTGCCCATGGCGCCGTCTTCTCCGTCTCTGGTCCCGTCGTCGTGGCCGAGAACATGATCGGTTGTGCTATGTACGAGTTGGTATGTCATTCCCTCCACCTCAGCAATGAAGCCTTGCGACCATGTGCCATCTGGCGGACCTGTTCGCTAATTATTCTCCGTGATTGTAGTGTCGAGTTGGGTATGACAAGCTTGTCGGTGAAGTCATCCGTATCGATGCCGATAAGGCCACTATCCAGGTTTACGAAGAAACGGGTACCTCCGCGCAACCCCTCTCGATCGCTTCCATGAAGCTTCATATCAACTGACACATGCATGCCTTCAGATGGTGTAACGGTCGGCGATCCCGTCACGAGGACGGGTAAACCCCTTTCGGTCGAGCTCGGTCCCGGTTTGATGGAAACAATCTACGACGGTATCCAGCGACCCCTGAAGGCCATCTCCGACCAATCCAAAGGTATCTACATCCCCCGTGGAATCACGGTGAATGCGCTGGATCGCGAGAAGAAGTGGGATTTCACGCCGGGTCAGTACAAGGTGGGCGACCACATCACGGGTGGTGATATCTGGGGTACCGTGTTCGAGAACAGCTTGCTCAACGAACACAAAATCCTCCTCCCGCCCCGTGCGCGCGGTACCATCACTCGGATCGCCGAGGCCGGAAGCTACACCGTCGAGGAGAAGCTGTTGGAGATCGAGTTCGATGGCAAGAAGTCCGAGCATGGAATGATGCAGACCTGGCCCGTCCGTGTGCCGCGCCCGGTGAACGACAAGCTGTCCTCCGACGCTCCCTTCATCGTCGGCCAGCGTGTGCTGGACTCTCTCTTCCCCAGTGTGCAGGGTGGTACCGTCTGTATCCCCGGTGCGTTCGGATGCGGTAAGACCGTCATCTCGCAGAGTGTGTCCAAATTCTCCAACAGTGATATCATTGTCTACGTCGGATGTGGTGAGCGTGGTAACGAGATGGCCGAAGTGTTGATGGATTTCCCGGAGGTTAGTTACACATCGCCTGGAATGTCTCGCTCCCCTATTGACTGGCTTCTAGCTTTCCATCGATATCAACGGTCGCAAAGAGCCTATCATGAAGCGTACCTGCCTGATCGCCAACACCTCCAACATGCCCGTCGCCGCTCGTGAAGCCTCCATCTACACCGGTATCACCATCGCCGAATACTTCCGTGACCAGGGCAAGAACGTGGCCATGATGGCGGATTCCAGTTCTCGCTGGGCCGAGGCCTTGCGTGAGATTTCAGGTCGTCTGGGAGAGATGCCTGCTGACCAAGGTTTCCCCGCCTACCTAGGTGCCAAGCTGGCCTCTTTCTACGAACGTGCCGGAAAGAGTTTGGCTCTGGGAAGCCCCGAGAGAAACGGCAGTGTCAGTATTGTTGCCGCCGTCAGTCCCCCGGGTGGTGATTTCTCCGATCCCGTCACTACTAGTACGCTGGGTATCGTACAGGTCTTCTGGGGTCTGGACAAGAAGCTGGCCCAGCGGAAGCACTTCCCGTCGATCAACACCTCCATGTCTTACAGTAAATACACCACCGTCTTGGACAAGTACTACGACAAGCACCACCCCGACTTCCCGCGTCTGCGTGAGAGCATCCGAGAGCTCCTGACCAAATCCGAGGACCTGGACCAGGTCGTGCAGCTGGTCGGAAAGGCGGCCCTGGGTGATTCGGACAAGATCACCCTCGACGTAGCCGCCATGGTGAAGGACGACTTCCTGCAGCAGAACGGCTACAGTGACTACGACCAGTTCTGTCCTCTGTGGAAGACGGAGTACATGATGAAGGCGTTTATGGGCTACCACGACGAAGCCCAGAAGGCCATCGCGCAGGGCCAGAACTGGTCCAAGGTGCGCGACGCCACTTCCGACATCCAGACTTCCCTGCGCAGCATGAAGTTCGAAGTGCCGGATGACGAGTCGGCCATCACGGAGAAGGTACGTCTTGACATTCTTCACCCCCCTCCAGTATCCCGTACTAAGTTCTCCTGCAGTACGAGAAAGTCCTGCAGAACATGTCGGAGCGCTTTGCCTCGGTATCGGATGAGTGAGCGCACCAGACGGGCGCTGTTGTTTTTGTCGAGAGCCTGTAGCATAGCAAATTCCCATTTTAGTCTTGTAGTTATTTTGCCATGTTTGAATGAATTAATCTCGTCATTCTTGAAGTAATCCCCGGAGTTGTTGTGAATTGGTCTTTTCAGGCAGCATTGTTTGGCCGCTTTGGGTGGCCAAAAAGCACATGACGCGTCCCTGTCCGATGGAGGCTGCCTAACAAACAGAAGCATTCAGAGTCATGGGCACCGGATGGGGGTTGTGACCTGTTCAAATATACTGCTACCTAGACTTCCCCCAAACCCCTGTCCAACGTGGTGGTTGTTGACTAGTACTACTTACTCCGTCAGCGACTGCGGCTGGGCAAAGGCCGAGAACTGCAACGGAAGCGAAAGTCTACACTTGGCCGTTCCTCTCGACCTTCCCGCCTTCTCTTCCTCCACTCCGACTCTACGCTAATCTGCTCCCTGCTACTTGCTCCCTCCGCACGCCGGATTCCCGCTGGGTTCATCCTCTCTTTATATAACCCTTCCCCTTTGCCCCTTTCTTCTCTTTTTCTTTCTCCAATTCGCTGCATACCCGCTTCCTGGATCTGTCGCCTGCCATGGCAAGCCCGACGAGCCTCTCGTGCGCGCTCTCTCCCCCCACCCCCTGGTCCCTCGTGTTGACTACCGCCGTTCTGACTCGTGAGCAGCATAAATGTGAACGATCCTAGCTTGATCTCGCTGGTCAATAAGCTGCAGGATGTCTTTACGACAGTCGGGGTAAGTGGTTTTTCTATTGATTGAAAATGCAGTGGCCTGTTTCCCGCAGCCCCTCCGTCGGAGACTTGACTGACACCGCTTGTTCGCTTTTTAGGTTCACAACCCCATCGATCTGCCTCAAATTGCCGTCGTTGGTTCGCAGTCTAGCGGTAAGAGTTCGGTTTTGGAAAACATAGTCGGTCGCGATTTGTAAGGGTTCCTGTGGATGCATGTCATTGTGTGATGTGGAGAACAACAGGCTAACCAGGGGGTTCTTTCCACAACAGCCTCCCCCGTGGATCCGGCATTGTCACTCGACGACCCCTTATCCTGCAGTTGATCAACCGACCCCCGCGGAGTGCGCAAGCGAACGGTGCTCAGGAGGAGAAGCTGGAAACAACGGATAAGGAGGCCAACCTGGACGAGTACGGCGAGTTTCTCCACATCCCCGGTCAGAAGTTCTACGATTTCAACAAGATTCGCGAGGAGATTGTGCGCGAGACGGAGCAGAAGGTCGGCCGCAATGCCGGAATCTCGCCCGCCCCCATCAATCTGCGCATCTACTCGCCCAACGTCCTGACCCTCACCCTGGTCGATCTGCCCGGTCTGACCAAGGTGCCGGTGGGCGATCAACCCAAGGATATCGAGAAGCAAATCCGCGACATGGTCTTGAAGTACATCAGCAAGCCCAATGCGATCATCCTGGCCGTCACCTCGGCCAACCAGGATCTGGCCAACTCCGACGGCTTGAAGTTGGCACGTGAGGTCGATCCGGAGGGTCAGCGCACCATCGGTGTGTTGACCAAGGTCGATCTGATGGACGAGGGAACCGATGTGGTGGATATTCTTGCGGGCAGGATTATCCCTCTGCGCCTGGGATACGTGCCGGTGGTCAACCGTGGTCAGCGGGACATTGAGAACAAACGACCCATCGCCTACGCCCTGGAGCATGAGAAGAATTTCTTCGAGGGACATAAAGCGTATCGGAATAAGTCGTCCTACTGCGGAACGCCGTATCTGGCCCGGAAGCTGAATTTGGTGCGTCCTGCCGCGTTTGAATCGAGGAGGTGTGGTGATACTGACTGACTGTTGTTAGATCCTGATGATGCACATCAAACAAACCTTGCCCGACATCAAGGCCCGCATTTCGTCCTCCCTCCAAAAATACACCTCGGAATTGTCGCAGCTGGGTGACTCGTTGCTTGGTAACAGCGCAAACATCGTTTTGAACATCATCACGGAGTTCAGCAACGAATACCGCACTGTCTTGGAGGGTAACAACCAGGAGCTTTCGAGTATGGAGCTGTCGGGTGGTGCCCGTATTAGCTTTGTTTTCCACGAACTGTACTCCAACGGTATCAAGGCGGTCGATCCTTTCGACAATGTCAAGGATATTGACATCCGTACCATCCTGTACAACTCCTCCGGTTCTTCGCCCGCGCTGTTCGTCGGTACCACCGCTTTCGAGTTGATCGTCAAGCAGCAGATCCGGCGACTGGAGGATCCTAGCTTGAAATGTATCTCGCTGGTCTACGACGAGCTTGTGCGCATTTTGGGCCAGCTTCTGAACAAGCAGCTGTTCCGCAGATACCCTATGCTAAAGGAGAAGTTCCATGCGGTTGTTATCAGTTTCTTCAAGAAATGTATGGATCCGACGAACAAGATTGTGCATGACTTGATTTCGATGGAGGCCTGCTACGTCAACACTGGTCACCCCGATTTCCTCAACGGTCAACGTGTAAGTCAGATATTACCGGCGTTTTACCTACCAGATACTGACAGAACAAGGCTATGACTATTGTCAATGAACGCCAGCAAGCCAGCAAGCCTACCCAGGTCGACCCGAAGACCGGCAAACCGCTTCCTCCTCGCGCCGGCAGCCCGTCGGTGGACCTTACCCAGGACGCCGGCAGCGGCTCTGGCTTCTTCGGTAGTTTCTGGGCTTCGAAGAACAAGAAGAAGATGGCTGCTATGGAGCCTCCCCCACCCGTTTTGAAGGCGTCGGCCTCGCTGTCTGAGCGTGAGAGCACGGAGGTTGAGGTGATCAGTACGTACAACCCGGTATATGATTTATGTGGTTTTATGTGGGGACTAACGCAGGACAGAGCTGCTTATTACGTCCTACTTCAACATCGTCAAGCGGACTATGATTGACATGGTTCCTAAGGCCATCATGTATACCCTTGTGCAGTATGTCTTGATTGATCCTACTATTATGCCTATGCTAACGACCGGTCAGATTCTCTAAGGATGCGATGCAAGGCGAACTTCTCGAGAACATGTACCGCAACAGCGAACTGGATGACCTGCTGAAGGAAAGCGACTACACTATCCGCCGACGAAAGGAGTGCCAGCAAATGGTGGAAAGTCTGGCTCGTGCCAGTGAAATCGTCAGCCAAGTGCAATAGATGCCCTCCACCCACCCTCCTCTACATCTCATATTTTGAAAAGACAAGAATGGTTTTCGGTTCTTAAACCAGCGCAAGTCTAGTTCTTGGCCGTTGATTTTTGGGAGGAGGAATTTTTATCTCACGCGCGAGGAAGTTACGTATCTAAAGTTTCCCTTATTTATGTTCATCGTTCATCTGTTCCTTTGCGCTACGCAGTTTCGAGCCCTTCCATACCATACCACAACACAACATGACACGATTTGTTCTTTGTCTTTTCTCTGCCCTGCCCTGCCCTTCCTCTCTTTCCTCTCTTTCCTCTATTTTCTGTTTCGGATGTCAGGTGGGCTTGGGTTGTCAAGATTTCATATCATGAATTTGTATCGCCTATCATAATGATTGTTTTGTGGTTTGATCATGTTGTTTCTTCTTTTTCTTTGAGTCACGTTTTCTCTTTCGTCATCTACCTAGAATACAGTTCCTCTTAACCTACCTAGTAGCTTAGCTTGGCGTGGCAGCTTGTTTCTTGTTCATGTATAGTACCATAGTTACTATTACTTTTTTTGTTGCTGTTTTATAGAAAGTAAATTCAATCGTTTGTTAGTCTTGTGTTTTCTACGTATGTTTTGTGTCGACATTCGGGCGAGGGGCGGACTTCAGGTGTGATGAATAGGGGCAGAAGGACATGAGTGAGAGCTATCCAACTACGGAGTAGAAACAAAATATATGCATGCCATTAATTATTTATGAAATAGGTAACATATTAGGGTAATTTAGGGCATTCGATTGCTAATTTGCTACATCGTACAGGCCCACGGTCTGGACGTTCATAAGGCTGTGTTCAATTAAGTCGATGGGGTTATGGAAAGGGGAATCAAAGAATGAAGAGAGTCAGGACTCTTGCATTAATCTTTATTTTTCTAACTCTCTGAATAAATTGTTTTCGGTATTCTTGTAGAATTAGCCATCGAGTTCTGGACGCCAGACCATAATAACATTTATTCGAGAAATTGTGACCCTAGAGCGTAGTTTCCAACAAAATGAACGCTACACCGTAGTCAGCAGTCAACAAGGCTTGATATATCGGGTTTCACTTGCAATATCAAGTCATGAACTAAAAACATGTTAATTTAAGCACTCCTGGGTAGTTAACTGTGGAGCCGGTAAGCAGTAAACCCGTGAAGCTTGGCTGGCTTGGAATCAGCCCATATCCACCGTTGGTTAGGTGAGAGCAATATAATATAAGCTATCAGTGCGGTGTAAATGGACTCCTTGGAATGATATCTGTGCTTTTCATGCAGGACTGGCCTAGAAATAGAGAGTGTATTCTGACCTCCCCTTTTAAGCGAAGCATGGGTTCAAACATTTGTCCGGCAAGGTACTCACTCCGTAACAGCTGCATCTGTCGAAAAATTTCCCCACCCTGTCAATATAAGCACTACTGCACGACCAAGAACGGCAGTTTGCCGTTTAGGTACCCTGACCTGGCAAACCCACCCATGGCTCAATCCCAAACATTGGTGGATCCACCCTGTATAGGAATGACACTAGGGCGGACCAACCTCCGAGGTGAAACAACTCCCGTCCCCTGAACTACACCAGTGTCCCGGAGATTAACTGGCCCTGAATCGTATGGACGGAGAAATATGGGCTTCGAACAGGGTAAATAGGATTCTCTCCGCTTTTGAACTGCTAGGTATATAAGACCCTGTTTCCCTTGGAGTTCCCGCCAATTCATCCTGACCTGTTCCTCAGATATCACCTCCCTTCTACCGCCCACCATGCATAGCTTCGCTGCCCTCGCCGCCCTCGCCGCTGTCGTCCTCGTCAACGCTCAGGAGAGCATTGAATTCGGTCCTGCTTTCTCTCTTGGACCTACTCAGTCATGGATCAAGGAAGCAGTTACCACGTTGGTTCTGCCTGAGGCACCCAGCCCCCAGGAGGACCGTCTCGCTCTGTGGCCCGGCATGGGTACCAGCGGTGGCGATCTGATCCAGGCTCTCGCCGTCTCTTTCTCGGACCCTAACGCGTGGGTCCCCTAATTGCGACACTTGCGATGGAGGTAACTAACACTATGAAGCAACTGTGGCGCCAAGGAGGGACAGTGGTGCACCTGGGCTAGCACCCTTCAGGGTAAGTACTCGTCCTGCGAAGCTGTCTGATTTACATAACTAACAGGACAACAGGTGAACAGCTCGGCGGAAAGCAGGTCCCTGCCTCTGCTGGTGACGAGGTCAAGATGCACTGTACGTATCTTCCATCCGCTCTTCGAATCGACATCAACTAACCACACCAAATAGACAAGTTCAACGACGAGACCAGCAAGTACGACCAGACCGTTTCCATCAACGGTGAAGTTGTCTCCACCCTGTCGACCAGTAAGCCTCTCCCCCGATTTCTAGTCCTACAATGCACTAACATAAACTTCAGGCTCCGGTCAAGCCCAGGGCTGGGGTACCGCCGTCGAGGCTCAGGACAACGCCTCCAAGAGCAAGGTCGCTGCTCACAGTACGTTTCCCGTCTAGCTTGCTTACGCCCATGACCGTAATTATGAGGATGATTGCTAATTCGAGCAGAGTACGTCGACACCACCATCATCCTGAACGCTGCCGACTCTACCTTCGCCGGCACCCTTGGCCTCAACAACGCCGACTCGACTGGCCTGAACACCGAGGACAACAAGACCTTCAAGGTTGATACCATTACCATCAACGCCCACACCTTTAACTTTTAAGTGCGTTGAGGATTGAGTGGGGAGTTTGACATGTGCTGGGTACATCAGGCTCTGGGGAGATGTGTATATAAGTAATGGATTTGACGTTCACTTGATGTGAGCGTGGATCTATGGATATTGAAAATGCATATTACTAATTGGAGTTCGGTTTATCTTGTAATGAAGAGGGCCCAAAGAGAAACGGTTTTCCTTGCCAGCCGCCATCCCAACTATGTACAATAACCAAAAGACAAGACCAACAATCAAATTATAGGGGAAAGCACGCCGCAGATAACCGGGATGACAAGATGAATAAAGTAATAAGTAATAAAGTCCGCATTACCTCCTCCATTCGCCTCCACACTACCCCAATTCCCTTGACCCACTTGATACGATCTACTCCAACTCCCCGCGATATTCTTAAAGCTATCTCCATCATCTCACCCCTGTGTACTTTGTACCTGTCACCTCCTAACAAAAATGGCACCAACTAAGCGCATCGCCGTCGGTCAATGGCATATCAAAGTCCGCTTCCAATCGTTTTTTCCCCTCCAGCAAACTTCCAGAATGGAATGAAAGGTCTAACCTCGATATAGGACCTCGAAGTCGAATACAATCACAAGAGAGCATGCCAATACATTCGCGAAGCCGCATCGCAAGGCGCCGAACTGGTCGTTCTTCCTGAGTAAACAACCCCTCTAAATCAGTCCACAACCATCCTATTAACCAAGCAACCAGGTACCACCTCAACGGATTCACCCCCACCTCCCCTCTCTACGCGACACAAGCATCCACCACCCAACCCTACCTATCAACCTACCAGTCTCTTGCCCGCGAACTCCAAATTTGTCTCGTGCCTGGCACCATCGTCGAGAAACACGGCGACCGGCTCTACAACACCGCGTACTTCATCTCGACCGACGGGTCCATCCTCGGCTCCTACCGTAAGAAAAACATCTGGCATCCTGAGCGCCCGCATTTGACTTCCTCTGGGGTCGACGAGCGTCATGAGGTTCTTGATACGCCGATCGGGAAGGTCGGGTTGTTGATTTGTTGGGATTTGGCGTTTCCGGAGGCGTTTCGTGAATTGGTTATTAGGGGCGCGGAGGTGGTGGTTGTGCCGACTTATTGTGAGTTTCTTTTCTTTGTCCCTCTATCTTCGGAATTCGCTCTGGTGATCGAGTTTATTACCCGACATAAGAAAGACGAAGAATTATTAACTTCAAGAAAAGGGACGAAACACGACGCCTCCCCCGCCCTTCTAGCGGCCAACCCAAACTGCGAGACCCTCCTCCTCGAATCACTACTCACGGCCCGCTGCTTCGAAAACACCTGCGCCGTGGTCTTCGCCAACGCCGCGTCCTCCGACGAAGACAGTGAAGCCAAGTTCCTGGGTCTTTCGGGCGTGCATGTTCCTGCCCTCGGAGCTGTTGGGAAAATGGGTTCTGAGGAAGGTGTGCGGACGGTGGATGTCGATATGGGGTTGGTGAGGCTAGCGGAGGAGAATTATAAAGTCAGAGAGGATTTGGGGAGGGAGGGGTGGCATTATGGGTATCAGCTTTAGGTGATGTGTTGGATGGTGTTTGTATATAGGTGGTTGGGTTCTGTGTTGATAGAGTGGGGATTACTCGGCCTATGTCCAGTTTGTATGTACTTGGACAAGGTAGGATCTGGGGTATAGGGAATAGTTCATGTTGGATACTATTTCTACCCCTTGTGACAACTTGATGGGTATGCAGTCGATCGATGATGGGTAGATACTCCGCGTTAGGTATGATTTGTTGGCACTGATAAAATTTGCTGCATTCTGTCTGTAGCTAACATGGAATACGGTCATGATGACTCGTCGTTAAGTAATATATTATCTGCCGTTGATATTCCAGAGCCCTAATAGTTGCGAACTATTTTCTACACAATCTGCGCCGCACGCCATGTCTAGCCTCTAATCAGGGAATACTTACAAGAATATGCAGCCACTATGCTCAGAGGAGCAACAATTGTAAAAATTACCATATGTGATTGATGACATGTGTAAATTATCATGACGTGGGGAGATCGTAATGCTGCTTTCATAAGGGAGCCGTCAACATGACGTAGGGTCCACCGTATACCTACTCACAGATATAAAAAGCCAAGTGACCACCCTTCTCGTAAGAATCCTAAAGAAATTTCATTTATATGTACCCAACAAGTCAAAGATTTACCAAGTTCTTCAAACATCCACAACCATGACTGACTTCGGCCGCAAAGACTTCTCCACTAGTAAGTCCTCTTCAGTCTCTAATCAACTACATTACGAAGATGAAAGGGTCTAACATATTCATCCCTTGCAGAGGCGGAAGAGAAGATCACGCCTGACTCGTCCAAGTCCACCGTCGACAAGATCTCCGAGACCTTCACAGATACCTCGGACCGGATCTTCGGTGCTGCTCAGCCCAACCAGGATAAGTCCGCCACGCAGCGCGCTTTTGACAGTGCTCGTGGCGAAACAGACAATCAGGCTCATGGCGGTAGCTCGCAGACTATGTAAGTCATCTGGGGGAGGGAAGTGTCTAGGCAGTGTGGCTAACGGCGGTCTCCTATAGTGGCGAGAAGGTTAAGAACGCTGTCGGAATGGGGGATAACTAGAACGGAACGGCTGTTTGTCACTGGTATGGTGACGCGATGATGGATCGGATTGTTCTGTTTTTCGATTAATATGGTGTGATAGGAAGGCATTGTTTATTCTCTCGCTGTCTTCTCTATCAATGTGATTACAACATAATTTATTATGAATACAAGGACATGATAATGCAATCTAACATGATCCATTGGTGGATGAATCCCCCTCGACGGTTGTAAGCGGCCAAAGCTGACGTCATTGGGGAGAGAACCGTCTACAATATACTCCATCCAGAGAGCCATGGGTAATGCCTTCGTATATGGACCGCCGCCGACCTTGGCAATACTGACATCAATAATGAATATCTGATCCCATTATTTGGTCGTAGACAGGTCCGGGTGACCCAAAACATCGCTAGTGAGGACAGACCGGCAAAGAGATCCGCGAGCAGCAACCACTTATCAAGAAGCTGAAATTACTGCTGCTGTTCAACCCATTACCAGAATGGATTGACACCACCCACGCCATGCGTTTCTACATGCACAACCCAGCGATCGAAGGAGGCATGCCGAACTCATACATCCCCATTCTACGGAAGCGACTGCATCTAACTCACGTCAAGACGAAGAGAAAGCACCCCAGCCTCTCGTCACCGGATCAAAGAATTCGTCGACTACTGCCACATCAACATGACCCAATTCGAGCCCTCCGATCTCGCCGCCTACCCGATCTCTCTGAGGATTTCTTCTCCCGCGCACACGGGTCCGATGGTCGACCGATTCACGAGCAGGAGGATCTTGCCAGCGCCGTGGTCGTCACGGACTCACGTATCGTGGCGTATGGAACCGTCAACGAAAGCAAAGGGCTCTGGATCAAGCGCGATCGCTTCTCCATTAGCAACTTGGTCATGGATCAGTCGCTTCTTTTCTCTCCTTTTTATTCCTCTTCTTTTTCGCGAGATATTAACAAGGTGTACGCTGTAGGATCCACGAGCAGTACCATTCGCAAAGGACGAGTTGGGGATCTTTCAATATGGAGGGTCATCGATTATCGTGGCATTCGAGAAGGGTCGGATTCAGTTCGACGAGGATCTGCTGAATATGAGTCGCAACGCAATTACCGTTGATGTTCAGGTTGGTATGAGTCTGGGTCAAGCAATTGAGAGATTATACGCTGTGATATCAAATCAATGACCCCTAATTAGGCAGCCAAGAAGGTGCAGAATGCCCGAAAATTTAGACCGACGGTGTCTCGTAGTTTAATTGAACAGTCCCCACTTAAGCTCCGACTCCTAGTTCACTAGTTAGACTAGTTTCCTCATGTCCCTGATGGTCAACGGAGATGGGTCAGATTATGGATCGGTGACGTTTTCTCATGATTGGGCCGTAAGTTTGACACCGGTCGCAGCCCGCGGACACCAGAGAGTGGGAACAGGCAGCAACAGACTCAGACTTTAGAGCGCACCCAAGCGATTCCAAGCGTCAGACTTTGCAAAGACTCGGCAGGACCCAGACTCAGACCGACCAGGTGGCGCGTCGAGTGTGGAACAGCACCGCCACCGGTCCAAGAACAGACGGATTCAGCTCGACAGGAGACGGTCGTCGGTGAGATGACTGCATCTGACAGACAGACTCAGAGATGCATGCGGAAAATGGAAATTGAAGTGGGCGATCGGGGCAGAAAGCGGTAATGCAGCCGAGCCTTCGCTGCCTGAGGACTTTGAGCGGTGCCAAGAACTCCCAGAGTCGGATTCCCCCCGTTGCTTTTTCTCGCCGCCGCTCTTTGCTTTTTCTCGCGAATTTCCACTTTTTAGCTTTGCTTGTGTTTTTCTTTTTCCTTCTCTGCATCTTCCCTTCAAAAGCGCTCGAAAATTCACTTCGTACTCGGTTCAGAGGACAGTTCATCGGCATCTCCCCTCGTTCGTTCTCCTGGTTCCCGTCACGGCCTACCGGCCATATAATCGACTTGATCTGCCGCATCCATCGTCATCTCCAGCATGCTTTTGTCTCGAATCCTTGCTTCGTTCAGATGTCGCTGGGCAATGTCTAGAGGCTAGCTGTGGCTGTCCCATCCTTGCATTCGTGCTACCTTCTGCACGATCATTTCTTCCTATTCTCCGGGGGACTGCGATCAACGGACATTCCTTTGGACTTTGACCCTCGTGTGCCCACGATAAGGCCGCCGCTGCACCGCGCGGGCTGATTGTTTATCCCGAATCTTCGATCTCTAGTCGCCTTTGGAACCCACTGTCTCTTCCTTCCTATCCTACCCCTCGCGTCGGACTTTCGGCTTCGTGACGATACTCGATCGACCTGCATTCCCAACGGCTCGGATCGGCGGTATAGCGGGGGCGCGGCGGGCTCTCTCTTCATTGTCAGGATGTCGTCCGCTTTTCTTCGCTCAGCGGCGGAGATCAAGTCTCGCATTCCGTTGCTCAAGGACGTTCATTTGAATTTCATCTTCCTTCATTACACCTACATCATCTTCGTCATCCTCCTTACGTCCGTCATCATGCTTGGTGGTAGTAATCTCGCCTACATCGATGCTCTTTTCTTCTGCGCGGGTGCGGCCACCCAGAGTGGGCTCAACACCGTGGATTTCAACTTGTTGTTCACCTACCAGCAAGTCCTCTTATATTTCGTGTCGATGTTGACCACTCCGATTTTCATTCATACGATGTTGGTCTTTGTGCGACTGTATTGGTTTGAAAAACGGTTCCAGCATGTCGTTCGAGACGCCCGAGCGTTGCGTCACACCCGGTCCCGATTGCGCACCATCACCGAGGACAAGGACCCCGAGTCGTATAACGTGGAGGAAAATGGCGTGAGGAACCGCTCAATTGTCGTGATGCGCAGCACCCAGGAAAATACTGGCGAAATGCCTCAAGAGCAATCCCCATCCCCCGACATGAGCGACTCGGGTTCTGTATCGGGTGCCGGTAAAGACGATAGCGTTTCGGAGGACGAGGAGAAAGCACAGAGAGGCAGACTAGGCTTTGGTCTAGGCAGCCTCCGGTTCCCCACTCAGTTAAGTCCTGACCAGCATATCGCGTTCCTGGAGAACCAGCGGAAGAATACCGGGGCGTTGCGCATTCCGAGCCCGAGGGAATACGATCGTGGCGGCGTGCCCCAGGTGCTCGAGGATCAGGAGGAAATCCAGGAGGTTCCGTCACCGCGGACTAAGGGTCGTGACGAGGCAGACAATCGGCATTCGGAGGAGGAGGAGGATCAGGTGGGACCTCTGGGCGCACCGCACATTACCATCAACGAGCCGGACATGGTACGGACTAAGACGAGAAACTCGACTTTCCCGCGTCTTGACACTCGCCCCACGATGCATGAAACGAAGGATGTCAATGATCCGTCGCCGTTGCAACGCACGACCACCCGGAGACCGACCTTTACCAGCGTATACCGCTCGTTGACGCAGGAACGAGACCGGAACACGCTTCCGTATCTCAGCTGGAACGCCACGGTCGCCCGCAATTCCAATTTTGTCGATTTGACCGAAGAGCAACGAGACGAGCTGGGTGGTATAGAATATCGTGCGCTGAAAACACTCGCAGTTGTTTTGATGTCGTACTACGTTTTATTTCACCTACTGGGAATAATCTGTCTCGTGGGATGGATTATGACCACGCATTGGGGCTCCGCGGTCACCCAGATCGGCCAGGGCCGACCGTGGTGGGCGATTTTCACCGCCGCATCGTCCTTCAACGATGTCGGTTTTTCAATCACCCCGGATTCGATGATGTCGTTCCAGGATGCCATTTTCCCCTTGCTACTTTTGACGTTCCTCATCGTCATCGGCAATACAGGTTTCCCTTGTATGCTTCGACTGATCATCTGGATGTTGTCCAAACTCACCCGCAAGGAAAGCCCTCTCTGGGAAGAACTGAGGTTCCTGCTGGATCATCCTCGCCGCTGCTTCACTCTTCTTTTCCCTCGCAATGCTACCTGGTGGTTATTTGCGATCTTGATTGCCTTGAACGGAATTGATGTGATCTTTTTCATCATCCTGGATTTGAACGATTCCACCGTGACGAAGCTCCCCGTTGGTATTCGCATTCTGGACGGGTTGTTTCAGGCAGCCTGCACTCGAACTGCCGGGTTCTCGGTCGTGTCTTTGTCCGACATCCATCCTGCCGTGCAGGTATCCTATCTGATCATGATGTATATATCCGTTTTCCCGATCGCCATTTCCCTGCGACGAACCAATGTGTACGAGGAGAAGAGTTTGGGGGTGTATGCCGACCAGGAAGAGGATGATGATGATAACCAGACTGCGCCCAGCTACATCGGAACTCACTTGCGACGACAACTCAGCTTTGATCTGTGGTACGTGTTCCTGGGGCTGTTCATCATCACCATCGTCGAGGGAGACCGTCTCCAGCGCACCGATCAGTATAACTTCCAAATCTGGTCTGTTCTTTTCGAAGTTGTCTCCGCCTATGGTACGGTTGGCATGTCTCTTGGCTACCCGGGGTCCAATGCCTCGTTTGCCAGTCAATTCCGAACCCTGTCAAAATTGGTTATTATTGCCATGCAAATTCGTGGCCGCCATCGTGGCTTGCCCTACACCTTGGATCGGGCCATTCTTCTCCCATCCGAGCATTTGCATCAAGATGAGATCACCGATGCCGAGCGACGCGTGCGCCGACGGACCTCCAGCTTCAGCCGGATGCCGTCGACCGACCGGCAGGACAATGGCACATCGTCGGGCATGGATCATCGAGACTCCATTCTCCGCCGACAGTCCACTCGACGATCGCAGCGTTCACAGCGATAGAATCTGTTAGACAGTTCGTTCCCTAGATGATTGGATTGGCGTTGAGTGATTGGGACGTGGTTTGTCACGTTTGTTTGATGTCACTTCTGGTTTAATTGAGCGTTTTTGCGTGCACTTGTACTCTTTTTGCGCTTTGTATATGTCTTGCATTGTCGCTTGACTGTGACAGATGTCATATAAATCTCATGTAAATCACGCAGCGGGCTGCGTCCTCGTCTAGAATCCGCTTACCTCGTTCATGACTCGTAATGGTTGGGGCGTTTCATCTGAAGGCCCAGTCGACTTCGGTTAACCTTTTCTTGGCAAGTGCTTGTTTCGCTGGTGTCATTTTTAATTGGGATCGATCAATCCGAGTTAGAGTGGCCACAATGTGGACCAAGTGAATAAGTATAATTGTCAAAGGTTAGCAATGTGCTTCTGGAGCTACTTGGTAACCGGGTAACCTTATCTACTCTAAGAGCGTCTGTCTGGGTTTGAATTGTGCTTGCTCTCCCTGGGCGGCGCTAGGCCGATCCCGGACCAGGCTAGATTGGAGGGTGCAAACAAAGCAAACAAAGCATACCCCCCAATCGGGAAATCACACTATAGTCAACAAGGCCACCAGGCCACCAGGCCACCAGGCACCATGGCCGGGAATCTACCATGCACTACCTGACGGTCTGGTTCGTGGAGATCATGTTGTCATCCCGGTTACCAACGCCCTGAATGCAGCACCCGTTGCCTAATCAGGCCATGATCGGTGACCGGTTTCACCTCGTGCATTCTGGATGACGACATCTCAACAGCTCCTCCTGGCCAGCCGCGTCTTCCTTATCTCGACACCTCACTCGCCAACTTGCTATCTCTCCATCCACACATCCATCCGATTTCTCTTGCGATCAACCGACACATTCTTTCCACCTCGTGCGAGTTTCCAAATTCTCACGCCGTCAATCCGTCGTTTGAGATTGCGCTCCGGCCATCCCTGGCTTCCGACAGCCATCATGGCAGACAAATCATATCCTGTCCCCGGGGATGACTTCTCTCGCTACGGCGGCGCCACCTCCCATCTTCCCAAGTTAGAAGTAAACGGCCTTCAACATGCAGGACCGCCTCCGCCTCCCGGGACTGTCCATAATCCCCCGTCACCACCGCCGGATGCCCCATGGTATGACCCGCGCGGGTGGTCGCTGCGGACCAAACTGATCGCGGGGGCCGTAGCGGTCGTGATCATCGTGGCCGTCATCGTAGGGGCGGTCGAGGGGACCAAAGCAAATCGATATCCGGACTACACGCAGCTGAATTACAAGCTGGTCGACACCTACTCGGGGACCTCGTTTCTGGACCGCTTCAACTACTTCTCGGACGAGGACCCGACAAACGGATTTGTGCAGTATGTACCACCTGCCCTTCCTTTGCGTCTTGTGTCACCGAAACTCCGCCCCTGTTCCCCCCCTCCATGCTGATGCATATTCGCCCGATCTAGATACGTCGACCAAACGGCCGCCAATGCGTTGAACCTGACGCACGCCACGGATTCCTCCGTCATGCTGAGAGTCGACACGTCGAATCAATTTGCGGCTAACGGCCGGCAATCTGTGCGACTAGAATCGAAAACCACCTATGACAGCGGCCTGTTCGTCTTCGACATCCTCCATACGCCGTACGGATGCGGTACGTGGCCGGCGCTGTGGTTGACTGATCCCCTCAATTGGCCGACAAACGGCGAAATCGACGTCATGGAGACGGAGAACAAGGCCACCGAAGGCAACGCCGTCACCCTGCACACCACCAGCGGCTGCAACATGAAAGTCAAGCGGAAGCAATCCGGCAGCGCAGTGTACACCTCCTGCGATAATAGCACGAATGGGAACGCGGGGTGCGGCGTCCAGGGTGAGCCAGAGACATCGGGTCAGGCATTCAACGAGAACGGCGGAGGAGTGAGTCATCCCATCCTTGCCCATCCTATGCACCTACCCTTCATCCTAACCATTCTGTCCAGATTTACGCCCTAGAACTTCGCGATGCAGGCATCCGCGCCTGGTTCTTCACCCGGGACACGATCCCCGACGACATCTCCAATTCCAGCGGCAGCCCAGACCCCTCGACCTGGGGCACCGCGCTCGCCGACTTCCCTAATACGGACTGCGACATATCCTCGCACTTCAGCAACCAGAGCATCGTGGCGAATATCGCCCTTTGCGGGGATCTGGCTGCCCAGTCGCAGTTTTACACCAAGGAGTCTCATTGCCCGGGAACGTGCAGTGATTTCGTGGCGCATAATCCGGCGAACTTTACGCAGGCGTATTGGGAGTTTCGGGATTTCAAAGTCTACCAGGCCCAGTAGTTTTGGGTTAACATTTTGGTGTGGTGTTGGGTTTTTGTTTTGGGCGTTGCGGATGGAGTCGTCTCTTCCTTTTTCTTTTTTGATCTTGTTGTGGCTTTTTCGACTTGCTTAGAATCACTACAACGACACAATGTACCTGACCGGAGAGGTATGACTGGCATGATGATGATTGATTAGATAGAGTCGGTCTTGCTTTTTGGTTTCCTATTCGGTCTTCCCCATTTTGTTTACTAGAATTAAATAGTGGGTGGTTTTTTGGTTTCCGTTTGCTTGAATCCTATCGGGTTTTCTTCTTGCTCCTTACTGATTTCCCGTATTTCTCCGTCAGTTCCAAGGGATTCTATCTGCTATCTACTCGAGAGGTACCTTTTAATGGGCGAGTAGCCTAGACTCTTCGAAACTCGCCATGAATTTGGAAAACTTGAAATGGACACCTGATGGATGCAGGGAACCGAAACCCTCTTACCCTTGACAAAAACAAGCCATGTCAAGCTATGATACGTACACCACTCCCTGCCCACCCATCTTTATGCACGCATCCTCATCCTGCTCGACACCGTTGCGTAGTGTGTAGTGTTGACATGCACAGTACTTTTTATTTTGACCTTGATGCCAAATTTGGATAGAAGAGGGGATAGAGCGGATACAAACAAATTCTTCGGCTTCAATTCCTCCCCCCAAGATGCGTTTCTAGTTTTGTTAGGCAGATGCAGATACAACTGGGATCAATCCATGGATATAGACGGGGACGTGCAGCAGTGAATGACCGGAATGTATAGTGGAGAGGGTAGCTGAGAGGTTACGGTATCTGGTCTGATTGGATTATAGAATGGTAGCCATCCCTGTACACGGAAGACATTGGGTACGATGTAGACGTGGGAGGATTGGGTGAGTAGCTAGGTAAGGGTGCGTAATGCAGTCACCCAGGTCTATGGTTAGCTATTTGTGTGCTACTGGGGAAGATGCTTGGTCGATCATTGGGTTGTGTGTGTGGATGCGTAGACAGGTGTCTCTCGGTGACCTAGACCGTTCAGGATGAGGTTATACAAGGAATGAAAGAGGGGGCGTTGGGTATGGATTGGGTGAAGGATGAGGGGCATTGGAGAGGGAGCTGATGAGGTGTCGGTGTTTGCGTCTACGGGCCTGGAAATAATTTTTTTTTTTTTAAAAAAAAAGAAAGAAAGAAAGAAAGAAAGAAAAGCGACAACACACCGAAGAGGACTCAGTTGCTTCTATCCTCGATGGCGAGCGAAGAGTCTATATATCTCCTCATCGTCCCTTCTCCCTTCCACTCCCCAGGCCGCCTCAATCGTATATATCCCCCATGCCTATTTGTTCATATACATCACTCATGTAATCGTTCTCTGATCTGACTTCTCCTGTCCACCTCTGCCACTCCGCGATCCGTCTTACCAACGTCCCCAGTCGAATCTGGCGACCTCGAGCCAGCTGAAGACATGCCTTGGGGTGTTATTAGCCTCGAGCTATGCACCCATTCCATCTACACAGACTCTTCGACAGCATGATCAGTCTTGTTTTGTAAATCTTCCCAGTACTTTTGGAGCCCAGTGATTTTGGAACTCCGTTTCATCTTCACAATCCAGGAGTCTACTTCAACGATTGTTGTGCTCCGAGTTCCACTCCATGCAGCATGGCTCTACCTCCTTAATCATATCTACAGATATGCGAGCGGGTACAAGACGCTACATAACTCGTTTCCAGTCAATGCCCCCGGGACGTGTTGTCTTTCATTCTGGGCTTGTGAGATGGTTTGGTAGTCCCGCATCATTTGTTCAGATCTATCTGCTCATCAAAGACGTGTCACCTTCTGCCGCTGGCCCATACTGCAATCCCTTGTCAACTATTCCCACAAAAAGCTTTCATGTCTGATCTCATGTCTTTACCACTTGAAATGTCCCTAAGGTCTCATCATGTTGCTGTATGTCTTGCTTTTCTTCCCTTCCCATGGGACTCGGGATTACAATTTCTGTTTATGGTGACAACATGAAAAACGAGGACAGTTAAGTTTGATTCTAGTCTAGATCTACTTTTGAGGTCCGATCGGGAAGTTAATGGAAATAGTGATGACCAGTCAAATATGAAAATTCACAAGTTTGATGATCTCTTGCCGGAAGTTCTTCTAGTTACCCAATGCCGTTGATCAGCCTGAGCAACGGAAATTCATGATTCATGGTATGAAACAAGCCCTTTATGATCATCAGATATACGCAATTTTTATCATGTTACTTGGTGAGCATGCCCCCGAGAAGGGGGGGGGGGGGGGGGCTTTCTGTGTGATGAATTGGGGCTTGAAAATGTGAGTTTGTTACTCATACAAAGTCAGTGTTTGACGTACTGCTCCCCTACAGAACGACAGTAATTGGCCTAATTCCGATCAACCGATACATTTGGCAAAATATTCAGCATGTACAAAAGTCAAGGGCTGAGTGAAACGGTCAACATCTAACAGCCAGCCAACAGGGTTCTGCTTGTCACTGCGCGTGGAGGGACATAGAACCACTTCTTCAACACCTTCTGATTCACCTAGGTACTTCCTCACGATGGAGAGGAACAATGGCATCCACGGGTTTTGAGCCACAGTCCGGAGAAAGTCTTTACAAAGATCCGCTAGGTTTCTTTTGGCGCGTCTCTTCTTCACGACTGGCTTCACTGACACCTCAGATGAATGTCTGACGGATGGGTCTTTGATAAAGGTGGAGGCCAATGGGTGTTCTCTGTGGAGTCCATCTGTTGTGTGAACAGAGCAGATGGAAGCTTCACGTAGGGTGGCCTTGACGACCATGACATACCAGCAGCACTGGGTGTGCGTTGTTTAAAGTGGTCCTCACGTGGGTATTGTGTTGTTTCTGTTTGTTCTTTTTACACGTGTCCCTCTTTAAACTCTCTCATCATGTTGTTGCCTGACTGCCTTTGCTAACCAGATGGATGCGACCAGGTCCAGATTGACCTCGTGCCATTGCCGGGCTCACCAACGAACTTTCTCATATATATCCCTTCATCACATTCAGCATGGAGACTGAGATATCACTGGAGAAGCTCCATCGAAATCATGACCACACGATTATCACGCTGCTGAACCCATCAGCAGTTTGGCGAGGGAACTTGCATTCCCGGATACGACTGGTTGGGCTGCGCCATTCAAGCTCACCAAAGTCTTTCCTTCCAGCCTCCGAAGTCAATTTCTTTTCTTGCTCCAGTTCCGGCCCGTGGAGAAAAGAGGCCCGAGGTGCTCCGAGACCAAACAGCGGTTGGTTCGTGCATCACCCTCGAACCACTCCAGCTCCCGATACAAACCAAGCAAGCCCGCCGAAAACAGGACAGGCGATGAGGGAAGAGCAAGCGCAAGCCTCACCAGATACCATAAGAAAGATTGTGGAATCCTGTAACCGTCATGGCAGACAATCAAGGAAGAGGAAGGTCAAGCGTGGATAAGACAGTGCACGGCCTCTCATGCTCCGAGCCAGGATCCGTACAAAACCGCTAAATGGGGCTATAAAGCGAGTCTTTCGATTTTGTATTTTCTTCCTTGCTATTGCTATCTGCGTTCGGATGAAGAAAGGTTGGTACTAACGAGTGATTCAATTTCAGGCGGATGAAAAAACTTGGAGTACAAAGTTCTGTCAGAAAAAACAATCACAACTTGATTGCCCCGAATCCAAAACACATCAGCGGAGCCTCTTTCCTCTGCATTCTGGCCAAGGAAATCACATGGTCAAGCAAACACACAAGTCGGCCAAATCCGATTGGAAGTGCCTATCGCTTTCCTTGCGATTTAGGAGTATTCTTGCGCTCATAAGACACCAGCAAAGCCAGTCAAGGCAAGCATTTCTCTCTTTAACCCATGACTAGATGCTGATATCTCATAGAGTCTAGAAGTCGGTACCACATTTATGCAGCTCAATTTCTCCAAAAAACCTGAAACAAGATGGAGCGCTTCAAAATGATCAGGGAAAAGCCAGTTGGACTCCGTTGATGATATCGTCAGTTCACGGATTGTGCTCGACTTCTCGTACCACATATCAGATTATTTACCCTCGAAGAGAGACCCAGAATTCACACAGCTCTTAGCCCTGCTCATTGAGATGCGGTGGAGAGAGTATTCAGGACCCCTGGTGTATTCGAGCGGGTTTATGCGCTGTATGAAGGTCTGTGACATAAAAGGCATTCTAACACTTGTCGCATAGACCAAGGAGCATTCAAACAGAGCCATGAAGAGTAGACAACGCACTGTGAGTGAATCCTGTTCGACCTGTTTAACCATCGCTAATACCCATAAATCCGGAATAGCAATCAGTCACTGCCATGGCTATGTGTTTCCGGGGTTCGCAGTTGCTTGGAAAGATGCAACAGAACAGGGAATGGAAAAGCTCGTCGCAGGTTTTGATACATGGGACGACTCATAAAGATGGACGGCGGCCAGTTGGTTACCTTTAACCCAGAGGCCACCAGGTGGCTTGGGGTATGGCTTGACTCTGGCCTGAACCTTAAGGCGCATTATCAAACCTGCATGCGCAAGGCCCGGGCTGCGGAGGCCCGGGTGCTACGATTATGCCAGGGTCATGGACTCGCCCCAGGGCTGGCTCGCCAGGTGCAGGTTGCGGCAGTACAGTCAATAGCTCTTTACGGAGCAGAGCTCTGGTGGCAGGGTCAGAGGGATCGGCAGGAAGGTATACAGCTGATGATCAATCGGCAAGCTCGAGCTATTACGGGCATGCTGAAAACTACTCCAGTTGGCCCCTTGGTCCGTGAAGCAGGATTGATACCAGCTGAGGTCTTACTAGAAGCCCGGCAACTGGAATATACAAACCGATTGCTTGGGTTACCAGAAGACCATCCTGCTAAGAAAATCCTCCCGGTGAGCTTTCGGGAGGGAGACCAACACGCCCAGCCTGGAGAACAGACCCCAGGGAATTGACAGTGGGCAGAAAGCAGTAGTTGGGGACCATGGTCATTAGGACAATACCTAGCCCGACAACTAGCCAATATCCTGCCAGAAGATCCATCCAGTGGCTTTGAAGGTCTGCTGCAACTAACCAGCAACTGCTTCCCGGGTTTTATAAAGATCCTGCCTAGCCCGGAAGCTCTGGGAGCCGCACAGGCTATATTTCCCGGACAGGTTATCTGGTCCGACGGTTCAAGGTCAGAAAACGGCAGAAAAGGTGCAGGGATTGCATGGAAAAGCCCTGAAGGGGTATGGAAGACCTGAATCTTCCTACTGGGAAAGGGATACGAGGTCTTCGATGCGGAACTTCTGGGAGTAGTGCGGGCCCTACAGATGGCAAAGAAGGTAGGAAACCAGGGACCAGTAACTGTCCTATTGGACTTCCAGGCCGCCATTGCCAGGCTGCAGCATACTCAAACAGGGCCAGGACAGGCCCTAGCAGTGCAGGAACACATGGCCGCCCAGGAACTGCAAGACCAGGGTCGCGAACCCACTATACAATGGGTCCCAGGGCATGCAGGGGTAGAAGGAAATGAAAGAGCTGACCAGGCAGCAAAGCTGGCTGCTAGCAGACCTCCAGGAGCTGGTCCAAGGGAGATCTCTTTGGCCTTTGGCCTTTGCCCGCAGAGCCCGGACAGAGGCTATTCAGGCACAAAGACAAGAATGGCTCACCAAGGAGCTCAACCGCTGACCCCAACAGGCCCGACGGTCCTACAGGCCACATAGAACCTGGAAGATTGATCCATCAGCTGCGGTAGCTTTCAAGCACCTGTCAAGCCGCTTTTTTCAGTTGAAATCGGGGCATCCAGCCGTTGGGGTATATTTATACCGGATCAAGGCCCGAGATAACATAAGATGTCAAGGATGCGGAGCATTAAAGGAGACTGTATATTACTTTCTTTTTGAATGTCGGCAATGGCGACACCAGCGGGACAAGCTCTACAAGGATCTGGAGAACGGTGGAGTTATAGAATCTACTGTTGCAAAGGACTGCCCAGAAGGAAGACTTCTCGGGGAGCCTAAGGCTACTGGGGCTCTACTACAATTCCTGGCCAGTACCAGTGTAGCTCTTCCTCGGGGGCATCTGCAGCGGGAGGCAGAAAGAGCCCAGATAGACAATAAATGGGGACTGGAAGCATTGGAGGAAGCAGACAGGACAGGAGAAGGGTAGCTGGGAGGGTAGCCTAAGCGGACTCTTAACTTAGGCTGCACCTACCCTGCTCTAAAAACACAAGGAGAGCACTCACCGGAGGCTCGAAAGCCCTGCGCATACAGGCGGCTTAGGGCGAGAAAAAGGATTAGAATGATCATGGAAGGGGGCATACCCCAGGAACACATAGGGACAAGAGGCAGCAAGCTGCTGGCCTCGAGTTCATGGGATATTGTCTGTCATAGCTTTAGGGCTCGATACGGACAATAAACTTGATTAAATAATAATAAATATGGACGGCGGCTATATGAAGGTCTTGAAATTCTACGCCAGATCCTGTGGTCTTGGCAAGTTTCGAAACACTGATGGGTTGAGTAGAACAGCTGAAGTCTTGTCAGTGATTGCTTTTGGCGTTAAACCTTTGGTCACGTTTGGCGTTTTTCTGTTGGAATAGGCTGCTGTTTCGAACACAGCATGCCATCGCCCTCTCCCATCGGGGACTAGGCTTGTGAGGATAGTGTTGTGTTTCAAAATTGATCAATACATGATGCGCTCTGGGCAATGCCTGAGGCAACGCTGAGGCAGTAAGGCATCTGAGACAGTACAGCAAGGCAAACGCCTCATTGATTTGTCAGACGATCTAGTTACACCTCGTCTGCCCTTCCATCTTCGGTAGATAATCATTCATTCGAGATAGATCATTATATTAAGCCGACTCAAGCAGTCATATCATTCTGTATTGGTCTCGTATCAACCTTCTAGCCCTCTGGATTTCTAAAACTCTCTCATTCTTTCGTATCGCGGTATAAAGTGGCCCTCCGGATGTATTTTGCTCCTCTTCGGTTATTCGTGATCTTGTCTCCAGAGCAAATGGAAGATACAATACTAGAATCGACAAAAGCTACGGCATGACAGTAATTTTCGATGACCTCACGGGCGAAGATATACGACCACTATCATGCGCGCAAAGAAAAGTGAACAGGTACAGAGAGAGAGAATAGGGAGGATATTCAACTTGTGTAAAGAAGATAATATGATCAGGAATACTCATTAACATGAGGTATTTTGCTAGAGGGTGAATCTAGGCGTCAAGAAACATTCCTTACTATGGATCATCTTACTCGAGGTGAGTTCTATGTGCGGGTAATTATCACTACACGAGAGAGAGAGATAGTATAGATGATGTAAAAACTACTAAGGGGAAAGAAAGAAGAGAAGGGAAGGCAAAACGTTCGTTTCCATCGATATCACTTCTATTCTTCTACCGACAGGTGCTCTCTTGAGGAAGGTCCACCCTAGTCTTCATAAGCCACCTATATCAGCATGAATCCCCAAACGTATAGGCGAATTAACCCCATATTCAACTAGATGTGGGCCTCGATGTATTCCACGGCAGTGCGAACTGGCCCCGTCAATCAAAGATTCACACTATTCTGGGCTCGAAAACGTACCATTGGTGATCCGACGCTGATCTTCAGTGGGAATATCGATATTGAATTCCTACTACCCGTTATTAAATGTTTCTTTGTCGAAGGCTATAAAGAACTTGCCTCCTCCAATTCGCGGAAGATTCCCCTCAACTCTTGGCGAGTCGCGCCCAATTCCTCCACAAAGTCTGCGGTGTCATGGATCTAACAGTTTTGATCAATATAAAAGCTCTAGAGCGTAATTAGTCCACATACTCTCTTCTCTTCAAGATCGAGCGCAAGCGCAACGATATGGCGAACACGATTGATAGTGGAAGACATTGTGAGACTTGCAGCAAGAAAAACACGATTCTTTGAATTGATATCGCTTTGTAGTAGTAATGAAAGAATGAGGACTTCCCGAAACGTTTCAGGGGCAGCTCCAATTATTTATAATCGATCCTGTTGGTCAAGAATATATTAGAGGGTAGTATACCACGGAAGTAACATACAGCATGTGTCACTACGGGAGGTTCCAGGACCAGGATCAGGGTGTCAGGCAATGTAACACCTAATGTGAGTTTCCCGGTTTACGCCAAATTCATGTTGGGTACTTAAACTAGGACAAACGCGTGGCTTCACCACAATCTGTGGTGCAGGGACTGGAAGGTGACACGAACAATTAGGGGTCTCAAACGCACGTGACGGTTTTTCCTCCCACTTTCACCCATCGCACTTCCTTCCATCCCACTGACAATATGCTTCCCTCCCTCATACCTCGGCTCCTCATGAATGGAGACTTGTCTTCGATCAAGCAGTACCTTCCGAAAAGCCTACAGCTTGAAGACAGTCCCCTCTTCAATATCATCGTCCCGATAGCCACCATTCTGGGCACCGTCTGGGCTTTGTGGAATCGCGGCTACCCATTTGTGGAAAGTTACATGGTAAATGCACGGATTTTGGACACCGACTCTTTGTACGATGATATGGTTCGATGGATGGATAGTCACTCCTCGTTCATCTCCTTTGATGCAAGAGGCGATGGCCAGAATGATCCCCTGTTACTACGCAGAGCACAGACTCCCAAGATCGAGTACGGAGGAGCGGCCTTTTTCTCCCTGTCTGGTCATGAAAGTTCCACGGTTGCTACTGATCACCCGCTCAGCTCAGGTTTTCACTTGGTGCCTTCCAAGGGGTCATGGTTCTTCTCGTTCAAGAGAACTCTCATACACCTCAAGCTTGTGCCGATGGGAGGACCCGAAGCCACCAGAGCGATCAGCATCCACTGTATGACGCGGTCGGTTGCAACCCTGCGTTCGTTTCTAGAAGAAGTCCGCACTTTCAGCAAGAATCAGGCCACCTCGTACGTCTCAGTTTACCGCATCACTCCAGGTCGTGAGATCCCCCGCTGGTCTCGCGTTACGTCTCGTCCCGCCCGGTACATTTCGACCGTCATTCTCGACGAGAGCAAGAAGGAGGCCATAGTCAAGGATATCAAAGAGTACCTGCACCCGCGCACCCGCCAGTGGTACTCAAACCATGGGATCCCGTACCGTCGCGGATACCTGCTGTCGGGACCCCCGGGAACCGGCAAATCTAGTCTCGCGGGCGCTATTGCTGGAATGTTCGAGCTCGACATCTATGTTCTCGGCTTAAATGAACCGGAGATCAGTGAGAATCATCTGACCTCTTTGTTCTCGAGAGTCCCGCCTCACAGTGTGGTGTTGGTGGAGGATGTCGATGCTGCCGGCGTTAACATGTCGAGACCCCCAAAAATGCCGACAGTTTCACCGCTAAATAGAAATGAATTCGAGACTCCAAAGTTCAACCGGACAATACAGTCCCTGGCTCAACCTGTATCACTCTCCGGGTTGCTCAATGCCATCGATGGTGTCGCGTCGCACGAGGGCCGGATTCTCATCATGACGACAAATGTCCCGGAGAGTCTGGACCGCGCGCTTATCCGTCCGGGTCGTGTCGACTTGCACGTCAAGTTCACACTGCCAGGTCGGAAAGAGTTCCAGGAGTTGTTCCGAAGCATGTACAGTGGCTTGGAGGAATTTGAAGAGGAAAGCTGCTCCGGTCGGGATATTGAGGCTTTGAGTTCGTGGTTTGCAGCTCAGCTGCCCGAAAATCACTTCAGTGTCGCTGATGTGCAGGGGTTCATACTGCAGCATAAACTTCATCCAGAGCAAGCCTGTGAGAAGATCGGGGAATGGATTGAACAGCGCAACCTCGACCTCGAGAAGGGCGGTGCTTCGGATGATAAACCGCGCTCTTTGGGTACCCAGACGAATATTCCAGACAACAATGAACACCTCTTAGATAACCCGTACACCACAGCCACCCCGGAACATCGCCTGAATAGCCAGGATGGTCATGTGGAAGATCAGGGGCATGTCTTGTAGCAATAGGAAGATAGGGTGATTAATGTGGAATGCCTTCGGACTAATCATCAGGCAATTAATGGTAATGGCCTTATGGATACTATTGGTGATGTTTTTCCATCTTCTCTCGGTTGAAAAGTGGTTCGCCGTCGAAAGATGGAAATTTATCGTGTTTTGCCATTTTCATTTGTTTTTGGTTTTCTCTATGTGTTCAACAAAAGTTAGTCCTGGCAAGAATTGGTCTTCGGCTTTTGAGTTCTCCGTATGGAGGTGAGCATCTCAGTTGTCTGAAATCAATTTATCAGATTGGCAATTTGGATTCTTTTGGCTCTACAAATTAGATTGAATGTGATCTTTGTTTTGTGTTATAGTATTATGTACCTTGCGATCTATAGCGTTCTGTACTCGCCCCTACTCGCGGGATTTAGCCTCAAATGATAACCTTTGAGAGTTTATGAGCCAGATGAGTTAGAGAGTGTCGTGCAGTATCAAAATGAACATTCAACGTGATTAAATTGACTAACACGGTCGTTGTTATAGTAAAAAAAAGAAATTGTGGCAGAAAAATTACCGCTACACTAAAAAGGTCAACCCTTAGTAGTAAGGGTTATTTCTAGTGTATATCCGCGGCGACAGAAATCCACCCGTTGAAAGGCCAGGACAGCGTTTTATACATCTAGAGTGGCAGCTGGGACTTGGGTGAACAGATTATGTCAGGAAGTCTGTCTATTTATCATGAGCATCATTTGGTAAACATGAAGAGATTTTTATGGATCCTGGTGATAAAATTCCCAGAGCTCGGGGCGCAACATGCAGATGACGTTAACCATTTATCGCAGTTTTGTCGCTGCACTAAAAAGGGTCAACCGTCAACCCTCCTTAGCGCAGAGCTAAGAAGATACGTATAGTGCATATTTCCCCCGGCCACACCATGGAACCGGGCAGTCTCCACCTTCCTCAATGGTCAAAAATGCGAGGATGCGGTTTCTCCTCGGAAATGATCGCGCTGGGATACTTTCGCGGGATTTAGTAGATATATTTCTTGGAGCCCAGAGATTCATCAAACCAAGTCTCCCATTTATTATCTAAACAATTTCAATGACAGTGCTTCTTATTGCCCTCATACTATCAGATTATATTTCGCTATCCAACAATGACTTCTCTTTCCAAGAACACCACCCCAACCACGCTAGCTCAATTTCAAATCCTCACGACCACATATAAAACTGTCCACGACCACGAAATTACCACTGATATCCTCATCCCTCCATCGCTATCCACGAACACACCACGTACACCGCGTCCCATTCTTCTCCGCTACCATGGAGGAGGACTTATTGCCGGATCCAGCCTGTTCCCAGCCTTCTTCAACCCATGGTATCTAGAGCTGGCAGAAACTCATCAGACAATCATTGTGTCTCCAAACTATCGCCTGCTGCCAGAGGCAACCTTCGAGGAGATCATGGGTGATATCGAAGACCACTGGCAGTGGATGCACCGGACCATGCCATCCTTTCTTGCCACCCAAACCAATGGGCGCCTTGCTGCGGATCTGGATCGAATTATTACCGGCGGTGATAGCGCGGGCGGATATCTGAGTCTGCAGACGGCACTCGATCATCCGGATATGATCCGCGCGGTGACGGCAACTTACCCCATGGTAGTTGTGAAGAGTGATCAGATGGCCGGGGACTATGGGAAAACGATATATGGGTTACCTAGTTATCCCAGATCGACTCTAGCGGATCACCTTGTGACTGTGAAAGAGCGAGAAATGAAAACGGGACAAAAGGTTATAGTAACGGCTGATCACGGCGAGAAGAGATTGCAGCTTATGTTCGCTATCTGTCAGCATGGGCTTGCTGGGCCTCTTTTGTCGGCGGATCCGAGGATGTATCCCCTTGACAGACTGGAGTTGGGGGCTCGATTTCCTCGTGGTGGGATGCTGGTTCTGCATGGTAGTCAGGACAGCGTTGTACCGGTCCAGGAGTCTTATTTGCTGAAAGAGGTGGTGCAGAAGGTGCAGGCTGATCTTGATTTCAAATTGATCATCCGGGAGGGAGAGCATGGGTTCGATCACGGGGCAAGTTTGCAAGATGAATGGTTGCAAGACGGTGTGCGAGGAATTGTTGATAGCTGGTTTGCTTAGTCTACCGCTTGTGTGGTTTATATATACCTAGATCAAGTGGTGGTAGATAGCCAAAAGCCTCAGGTTAAGAGGATCGAAGGAAAGGTCTCTTGAAAAAGCAGAGAGCGTTAGGTAGTTGGATTCGGCTCAAATTATTTAGTTGTCTGCTACGTGTGCTCATGGAGTTTTAAAGATATTCGATACTCAGGTTGCTCACCTATTCTTAGTTTTTATGTGTACAAGAAACAATCAATAAGAAAATGGCGATAAGGAATATCTTCTTCTGTTCTTGGAATGGCAACTCAGTCTCCTTAATGGTCCTGTTCCGAGCTACGAGGACGAAACAAAATCAACCCGCAATAAAACAAATAAAGATCGAACAGGGACCGGCTGGAGATACTACCAACGGAATGTTCAAGTTACTCATAGTCTTTTGGATTGATACTGGCTTGGCCACTACTTCTCGTTTAAGCTATATTGTAGAACGCGACGACCTTGGCTAACTATTAGCCCGGTCCACTCAACCTTCCCATTTGAGCGATAACTCTTGATTTGAGGCTTGATGGAGGGTCTTCCGCCCCAAATTCAAAGATCCGAAGTCGTGAATATCATAGGGAGAATGGCTTTCCTCTAGTTGGTGGGCAAAAAACCATGTAGTGAAAGTCAGCGTGAGTCTCATGAATAACATTATATTTGGATATGCGGGACTATATCAACCCAATTGCAATCTCCACCCTCTTTTCAACATGAAGTCTAGCCACGAAGAACGGTCCCCATAAGTGCGAGTGGTCCATAGCTCTTCTAGTAGGTCGATTGCTTGAAGAATAGCCGGCAGGCGATTCAGGGAATAGATAGCTTTGAATCTCTGTCGTACTTTATCCTGCAGCTGGCCATCGTTCATGCCAAGTTCCGACGCCGCAGTGAGCATCGGAAGCGTCTGAAAGTTTAAGTAATTTGACGAGTTTGGGATTTCCAGGAGCTGATTGATTGTTCTGATAGCGTCTCGGTGGATCAGGTCCTCCATGGGGAGGTCCGCTAGTCCTGGATTTATGAACTGGCCATGATATCCGCTGATTCGATAGAGAAGAATGAGGCCGTGGCTCCGAAGTGATTCATACAAAAGCCGTAATGAATGATTTGCTGCCGACAGGTCCCACCCCAAGATTTGCTGTTCGAGAATGCCCTCTTGCTGGCGGTCGTGTGTTTCCGAGTCGAGGGCTCGTCGGCAATAACGGCCCATATTCGCGAGAATGTAGAGAAGCTCGGTACAGGAGCCGTACATGGGGTGGTGCCAGCTTCCCATCTTGTGCACTGCGATAGAAACGTCTAAGGAATACGGCCGTTGTGGTTGTTCAGTAGAATCTACCAGAAAGGCGGAGCACATGTCCATGTAGAGATACATGCCAAAGCACAACCGGGCCATGTAATCATTCTCAGAGTCCTGGGAGATATCTCGGACAATTCGCCTAGCCAGTATGCCAGCCGCAAAGATGTGCTCCTTCCCATAGTCCGCCATGTCATCATGATCAGCGCCATGCGATAAGGCCAATAACATCGCCGTTAGCAGGGAAGCGCGCGGTTCCGTCTGTGATCGTTCCAGTTCCGCCCGGAATGACACTAGTGCATTCCCTCTCTCTTCTAGCGCGGTCACCGTCGCCTCAGCCGAGTAATATACTTCGTGACGTGCGCTCACGGACTGGATGATATGCACCAGTGCGGGCGATTCGGCGATGTATTCTAGGATTGGGAAAGAGAACGGGTTGTCCTCAGGATCAATCACTAGCTGTTGGCTGACTCTTTCAAGCCAATATTGAAATAACCGTCGATGAACGACCGAGTCTACAGTCGGCAAGAACCAGGGGATCTCCAGCTGCCATTGAGTCAGGCGCGAGGGCGCGGAGCAAATTAACCCCTGTCGGATGCAACGCTGACACACCGGATACGTCTCGTCGCACTTCACTCGCTTTGTTTTACATTGCCGACACCCGAGCTTACTCTTAGATCTCGTGAGTTGAGTCGGAGCGGCGCTGACTGGCGTCGGTGTGGATGCGCCGGCGAAGCTGATCACTGGTTCAAACCGTACACGATAGGTCATTTGCGCATATCAAAGAGGTATTTGGTTCTATGGCCGGGATAATGGCCGGGATAATGGCCGGAAGCTGCACTCTATTGCGAATTTTAGTGTGGCACCACTTACGTTATGTAGGATTTGCGAAGAGACGGCTGTCTTGGAAGCCTAGAAATGAAACAATTTCTACCTGGAGGCGGTGGGTAAATTGTTCAGTGGCGTTCGAATGACAGAGAGTTTTGCCTCTGCCCCAATAATCTCCACTTCCATTCGACTCTCATTGTGGAGTAACTCGCGATTCGACCTTGAAAGGAAGGCCTGGTGGGTCAATGCCCGCTAAACAGGGGTTTTCTCGGGGAAATATTCTCGGACTACCTATGTGCAGTCAAGACTCAAGATACAATGGATCGGTTGAAGTATTGGCAAAATATTTGGTTAGACCCCGCAAAAAAAAAGGAAATCAGTATGCTGCTGTTGAAACTTGATTCGGAACATTTACCCTCAACTGATAATCGTTGGCAACCGATTTAACACTGTGTTCGTCGTTTTCTTCGGCTTCTATTTGAGATGGATCATATACCATCCCAGCTACGGGATCTACTTCCGCCAGAACGCGTTTTCACCAGTTCAACTCCCGAGTTCAAGGAGTACGTGAAATTCTATAATCAGTCCTTGACAGACTCGCCTCTGGCTATCATCCGACCGGTGACTGAAGATGAAGTTTCACGGACTCTTCGCTTTTGTTCCACGATTGGCATCCGAAGCGCGGTGCGTTCCGGTGGACATGATTTTTTCGGTCGCTCGCTAACGGCCAATGGTGTCCTCCTCGACATGCGAAGGATGAAATCCGTATCCATTGCCCCAGATCAAGGCAGCGTGCGAGTTGGTGGCGGGATCATTGCAGGGGACTTGCAGGAAATACTCGACCGCCATGGTCTGTTCACCCCAACCGGTCAATCCAAGACCGTGGGTTACGTTTCGTGGGCTTGTGGTGGGGGGTATGGATTCTACGTTGGATCTTACGGGTTTGGAGTCGACCAGATCCTAGGGGCGAAGGTGGTAACGGCAAACGGAACGGTGATCAACACTCGCGAGGACGAAGAACTGCTATGGGCACTCCGAGGCGCCGGGGCAGGCACTTTTGGGGTCGTGACCGAGTTAACAGTCAAGGTCTACCCCGTGCCAAAGCTTTATGCCGGGTATTTAGCGTTTGCACTCTCCCAGGCTCAGGTGGTCCTTGATGGGTTTCAAAGACTGGTGACGACCCATTTTCCGGATGAATTCAGTGGCGATGCCCTCGTTGCCCATGCAGATATGCTTCCGCTTGGGCTCTCAGAGCCTTGCTTCGCCTTCCTCTGGTGCTGGACTACGAAAAATGGAGACCTGGAGCCTGCGAAGATCTTTCTCCGCAAAATGACGGACCTTGGGACGGTTCTCGCAAACACGGTAGAGGAGAGTGAGTCAATGATAATCCATTTGGTGTCACGTATATCAATGCTGACTTTATACTTCCACCTCTCAGCTAGCCCAGCCGTCTACGGAGTTGGCGACTCGTCGTCACCCACCTTTTTCCGCAGCATTAATATCCAACAACTTGACGCCGATATTGGAGCTATATTCGAGTCATTCCCACCGGTATATCCATTATCAGCAGTTGTCATACATAACAACCATGGGATATTTGTAGAGGAGAAACGCCGTGATGCTGTCGATTCCTGCTTTGCCAACAGGTTTCCGCACATCATCCTAGGATTCCATGGCGGCACTTATTCCGGAGCGGTGTTTAATACCAGTGCTTTAGCCGAAGCTAGAGACTGGGTAGAGCGGCTGAAAGCGAAGGTCGAGAGGACGGGATTGGCAATGACGAAAAAGTTCCCCAGCTTCTGTCCGCCGGAAGAGGTGAATCTTCTACAGTGTTTTGATCAGCACACGTTGGACAGGTTGAAAGGTCTAAAAAGAAGAATCGATCCGCATAACCGTTTCCATGGCGGTATATGCAAGGATTTCGGGGTAATGTAACTAGCAACTGATATTGTTAACGTCTTTAATACGATGAAAGATAGTTCTAGTATTCTAGAGTGTTAGCCTGTAGTGCAACCAGGCGTGAATTGTCCTCATAAATTTTATTCAAAAGCTTTCAATATAGCTTCAGGATGTCCGAGCTAGTATTCTGACAGTGGATTAGCCAATGTGAACAAAAGAAAACAGTTGAATCTGCCGAGAAATGGTCTAGTCAACTCGCTGATCGCGTTCTGGACCTTTTAGGAAAGTGGAGGTAGTTGTGTCAGCACATTCCACGGAAAATTGAGTCATCGCTCGCCTGTAGTTTGCTGAAATTATTGACCATGTTCCGATTATTTATAGGGTGACATGGGACGGAAGAAAAATGAGGAACATACTTATCTTTCCCCTTTCATTGCTCGTGGTATCAACTTGACTTTACCATGGAAACCCTACACGACACTGCATGGAGATTTTTCCAATCCCATGGCTTGGAGGGACCATGCCTTAAAATGCAGCTGTGGGCGCTGTGAACCGCGAAGGTCTGAACTGCTGAAACGGAAGTCTCGACGGCAGGCTAACTTTGCCTACAACAATAGGAACTTTGGTTTAGATGGCACATGCCCTGAGTCAACTGATCCCCCAGTATACGCAATTGTGTCCTGTACGAAGCTATTAACAATCATTGCGGCTTTATAATGCGTTGACAAGGGTCTGTTGAAGCTTGACGCGCCCATCAGTCAAGTACTTCCGGAATGGAAGAGCCCGAGGATTTTAGTAGGGTTTGGCGTTGATTCCAAGCCTATAATAGAAGATGAAAACGCCAGATCACCTTGCAGTGTGTACGCAGCTGCGAAAATGAGAATTCTGCAGGGCCCTAATGAATCGTGCTGTCGCATGTAGGCAGCTTTTGACGCACACGAGTGGGATGGCGTATGCGCTTGAATACGTCTCACCCGATTTAGTGCGTTTTCATGACTTGGTAAACTGCAAACCTTGGACAGGTCCAACCATTGTACGTACTATTTTCTTATGTCTTATGCATGGCGATGATTAATAAATCATCATGCTAGGCCGACTCCTATGCTTGTGTTCTTCTTCATCGCCCCGGGGAAATGTGAGAATATCTCCGTCCATTGATTGGGCGGGAAAAATGGTGAGGTTATCAGAGGTTTTGGGCTACATTAGGACTCTAACCCGCGGACAGGTGGAACGTGTAAACGGTATTAGGCTAGGTGAGGTCATGCAACGCCACATCCTTCAACCTCTTGGGATCAGTGACATGGAATTCCGCCTTGAGGAACGTCAGGATATGCGAGCTTGCTTGGCCCAATGCTACGAGCACTCCGATGAGGGGGTGTTTTAAAAGACTAACTGGAGCATGCGATCCGGAATTGTCGTTGAAGGCTTTGGAGGTGGCGGGCTATACGCCACTGTTCCTGATCTGCTGAAAATCTACAGTGCTGTACTGCGTCAAGATTCCCGCATACTGAGTCTTGACATGTTTCAATTCATGTTCATGCCACAGCTGCAGAATAACGACGACTCGATTCTCTCGAGACAAAAGAGCCTTTCTACACCAACAGCATCTTGAAATCGGTTCCCCTCGCTACCCCGATAAGCTTCGGACTTGGTGGGCTACTGAATTTCGAGTCCGTCGAAGGACGACGGGGTGCCCTGTCTTTGACATCGTCGGGAATGACCAATTGTTACTGGGTAAATCGTCCATCTTGGCTTTTTGGGAAACGTATACTGATGACTATCAGTGGATTGGTCCTCAGAATGGCGTCGCGAGAGTATTTCTATCCCAGTTACTCCCTCCTGGTTATTCACGGGCTGTGCGTTTTTTAACCAATTTTGAGGAGGTGGTGTATAACTCAGTTTCTTCCAAGGAAAATTTATTGAGTAAAATGCTAGGCGGGGCTCCTTGATTACGGGCTCTATTAGCTAGAATGAACCTTTTTAAAATTATCGTTGCCCGGGGCTTCTACGTCACTAAATTGGAAACGATCATAAGGTTGAGAGCTATTAGACTTTATTTAGCACCTCTGGCACGGATAATCGTTCCTTCAGTATCTCTCTGGCAAGACGATATAATATACAGTAATTCTGATATTTCCAGCAAATGGATCAAACTCTCTTCGCAGCTTTAAAGCAACCAGTCACCTATCCACACATTTACGCAGTCGAAGAAGGCGCGGCCCCCGAAGGAACAGCCGAACCAGAGGGCATACCAGACGGAGCAGCACCATCGGCACCGCCACCACCGCCCATGAATCCGGAGTTCTCATTTTCATGACCACCAAACTCATCGTAGTACGCCGCAATGCTGTAGTAGCTGTTATCTGTGTAATCCGCTGTAGTGTTAATGCCGATCTGGATCCACGCGAACAGGCCGTCCGACAAGTCGTCTCCAAGATAGATGTACTCGGGGAACGGGTCATAGGAAGAACTGGCTTGCTCAACACTCCACATGTCCTCTGCGTTGGAGGTGATGTCTTGCGTATTTGTGGTGTACGGGTATGTGTCCTCGACGGCGGAGCGGAGGACTTCGTTCCAGAAGAGTTGGCCGATGTGGGCGACGCTGCCGGTGCCGACTACCAGGGTGTTGTTGTTTGGGTGCAGGGTTGCGTTCAGGTGCGTGAGGAGGTGGGTGTGCGTGGCGCGGCCGTCGTAGTGGCCAGGGAAGATGGTCGAGAAGCTCACCACGCCATCGGCGTCGGTTTGTTGGATGCCGCGTAGGTAGGTCGAGTCGAGGCCGTCGGCGGCGTAGTTTCCCGAGGTAGAGATTCCGCTGGGAAGACTTGTTAGTGGGTGGGTTCTTTGATTTAATTTTGCGAGATGTGGTGAATAGTGGCTTACCTGTAGACGCCAGTAGCGTTGGCTTGCCAGACATCGACAATGGCACCAGGGACAGGGCGACAGGTGTTCACGTCGATGTACTGCACCTCAAGGAAGCTGTCGATTCCGTCCGAGTATTTCTCCTCGCGGACATCCTGGCGCATGATCTCACCCCAGACATAGTACGGGCCGTCCGTGACAGTAGGAGCCAGGATAGCGCTGGTGTTACCACCGAAGATCTCGGACTCGGGGGTGTTGGGCGAGAAATTGAGCAGTCCGGTACGGTTGTGGTTGACAGCCTCCCATTCCTCGAGGGCAGCAAGGTCACGGCGCCATTTCTTGGGGTCTGTAACGGTTAGTCTCTGTGGTCCGGTGGGACAATATCGGAAAAGGAGAGAGGTGAGGGAATGAAAGGAACATACTGGCGGTGATGCCACGGGCCTGACGAAGCTCTTGGGCTGTACGAGCGCGACGGGCAACGTTGCGCTGCTGCAGCTGCTTGGAGTGAGTGGTGGTTGAGCAAGCGTCCAGAGCGCGTCTGGATCTGGCGGCATGAGCGTCGCGAGCGCGGATCTCCCGTTTGACGACCTCGGGGTCGTGCTTTTCGCCCGGGTGAGCGACAGCCAAGGTAGCGGCAGTGAGGGTGAGGAGCTTGGAGAAATGCATTTTAAGTTGCCTTGGCTTGGTTCGGAATTTTTCTTTGGTCTTCTCTCTACTTTTGACATTCGTCCACTCCCCTTATATATCTGCCAGTTCTGGTCGAAGACCACTCCCTGACTTCTTCATGGATAGCCATATCTTGGACAAGTGAATAAACTACTCCGTGCACCCACCACGCTTGGTCCTAGAAAAAAATAGGTAAATAGAAAATGCGCGGAAGCAACCTAAATTGCCGCGTCATTCTCCGTCTCACCTCCGACTGGCCAGGCACTCCTATCCTAGTCCCCACACTCTCATAATCCCTGCTCAACCCTTCAACACTAATCACCGTGCTGCGTAATCCAGCCCAGCCGACAAGGCACCCTCCAAATAACTCCCCAAACCGTCAGAATTCTGCACGACGCACGACGCACGACTAACCGGCTAGCAGCGTAGCCAAACCGAACGGGTTCTTGGCACCGCGTACGCAGGATCCGCTTCCGCCGTCAGAAACTAGAAACGATCGACATTCCCTGCCAGTCAGTTTTCTAAGGTTGCTGCTTATGGTGGATCCGGGGATACTTTGATTGTGAGCTTAAGGCGGCTTGTTTCAGTTTATTTTTGCTTCGCTTTGTGGTGCTGGGCCTTGTTTCTGGGCGGAGGTCTGCGGATCATAGATGAGGGAGATGCGTAGATAGGGCTAGAGGGCGCACGTGTCGACGTACGTAGAATGGCTTGGCGGTTGGGATGGCGAGTCTAGATTGAGAACCATAGATATTCTCGCGATGAAGGGCCAATGGAATATGTCGGATTAATTGACATTTACTTGGGGCGTGCTTTTGCGCTAAATGATTTGAGGTACATAATGAGACAGGCCCGGGTTGTGCTGGGTATGTTGCCGAATAGATTATAGTGCAGAAATATATTTGACGCTTTGCTAACTCGAAATCGGGAGATGAAAAAGGCAAGTATACGAACCGCGTAAAGGGGGTAGAGCAAAAGAACGACAATGAAGAGATGATTTTCTATATACAATAAGTTAGAGGCAACAGAAGCAAGAGGTCGCTCGACCTTGGAAAGGGATCCTAGATTTCGCTACTTCCTTGGCGTGTCGAGTGCCTTAGGTATGTAAACCGCCAAGCCATGGATATGCGATCTATTTTCCTAACTCCCATACGGAGTACACAATGAGTGCAGCGATTAGACATTCAAACCATTTGAGACTCTGGATTACCTTCATCGGGGCAATGGCTAGGCCGCATATTCCAATCTCACATTGCCAATTTAGGCACCGTTATCCCAAGATTTGCCTTTGCCGCACACAACATTTAGCTATATTTCGAATAGGTCGTAAGGATGAAATACACGAAAAGAAGTAAAGAAGATGATCCTTCAAAGCAGTGTACTCAGTAGGGGCCACACACACATTAAGGCAAGCAACGTGGAATGCGTGTTAGAATGCCTCAGGCATCAAACCCGAGCATGGCCAACGCGCTGCCCATCCATCTGCGCCACGCGCCGGAAATACGCCCGTTTCACCCACTTCCAGCTCTCAGCACCCAGAAAAAACAACAATGTCCCCACGGTAACAATCGCCCACTCCCAGGAGATGCCGGTATGTCGAAACACCTTCGTATTGATAACAGGGATATAAATCAACGGAAACACCATTACGAAGCCGGAGATATTAGCCCAGAAGAGGAACTGGTTCTGCCAGATATCGCGCGCAAATTGCGTCCAGCTGTGCGAGGATGAGGGACGCATATTGAAGAATGACCGACGCATGTCGATCATCTCCCAAGCCAAGAAGAGCACAAACCAGGTCAGGCACGCGAATGTTGTGGCGCGGGCGCGGAAGGCGATCTCGCATCCCTCGAGCTCGTTGTTGCAGTTGTTGCCGAATTTACCTTTGCCGACGCCGTACATGACGAGGGTGAATGCGCCGAGGCATAGGGCGGCGACCCAAATCCCGTAGACAATCATGTCGATCATGATTTCAAGGGTGAAGATGCCTTTTTTGATCTGCGAGGGAGATTAGGTTTGAATTTGTTTGTCTGGGGCAGAATGGACCTACACTTCGCGGTGGTCGGGACATGATATCAGTCGTTGCTTGCTCAAAGCCTAGTCCCATGTCCGGTAGCCCGGAAGTAATCATGACTAGCCAAACAATTTCGACGGGACTTAGTGGAAACACCGACAGTCCCTGCGAGTCTTTGAATGTAAGTCCGACGAGAAGAACGAGAGCTTGTGCAAAGTTCTGGGACAACACGTGGAGGATAAACTTCTGAATATTATCGAACATCCGCCGCCCTTCCTCGATAGCGTTAAGAATCGAGGCAAAGTTATCGTCAGTCAGAACAATATCCGAGGCATCTTTGGCGACATCAGATCCAGCCTGACCCATTGCAATGCCCACGTCTGCATCTTTCAGGGAGGGAGAATCGTTAACACCGTCACCGGTCTAATTGAAAAGTTAGTGGGCCTAGAACTCATAAGTTCGAGCGTAAATCATGGGAACCTACCATTCCCGCAAATTTCTTCCGTCTATGCAAGGCTTTGATCATTCGTACTTTCGTGCTTGGAGCGCATCTCGCGATCACCAGGGGCAAGGTCGGCAGAGCATCGACCTCCTCATCCGATAGTTTGTCAAATTGATGAGCCGTCATCACCATTGCATCAACAACGTCCTTACTCAGCTCGTTGATGCGCGGTGGTAAAATTCCGACATCCAAGGCGATCGCTCGTGCGGTACCAGGATGGTCTCCCGTCAGCATATGGACAGATATCCCGGCTTCATGACAGCGACGAACAGAAGGAGCAGATTCTGGTCGCGGAGGGTCGTATAAACCGACTAATCCGCGAAAGACTAGGTCTGTCTCGACTGCATCTCTTTTAAAATCTTGCGAGTCGCCGATCGAGTCGTGATATTCTCTGCTGGCGAGTGCGAGCACCCGAAGTCCCAATGCGGCAATAGCCTCCATATTGGCAACAATATCCTCTCTAATTTTCTCGTTCAACGGATCAGCTTGGCCACCGACATGTGTGTGAACAGATGTGCAGGAAGCAATGACTCTTTCGACTGCACCTTTCGTAAACACATGGCTCTTGCCGGTTAAAGTCTCTTCGAATATCACGGACATCTTCTTGACGTCCGAATCGAACGGAAATTCGGCCACCTGCTTCCACGAGGGAGCCTCACCCTCCGTAAAGTTCAAGCGATTCCATCCAAAGCGGGAGGCCAGGACCTGAATCGCGATCTCTGTGGGATCTCCTCGCGCTTTCCATTCTCTGGAGTCCTCCCTGAACACCACGGCGAGATTAGCAAATGAGGCTGTCTTGAGGTATTCCTCTAGCTCCGGATTTCCTTCAAGGAACCGTTCAGCAGAGTCCAGATTTTCTTCAACAGACTTGGTGAAATCGATATGTCGCGGCTCGTTTGGGTCATTTCTAAGTCCACCGATTGTCGGATTGTAGGGTTCGTTTGACTCGCCGACCGAATACGTTCCGCGGGAGGGAATCCAGATCTTCTTAGCCACCATCTTCCCCTGCGTTAAGGTCCCAGTTTTATCGGAACAGATGTCTAAATAATGTCAGTACCATTCAACATCTCCAAAGATGGGGTCAGACCGGTGACCGCCCCAAGCGCCTCCAACGAGTTCAAATTCCTCACGATGACCTGTCTCTCGACCATTCGCTTTGTGCCAATAGTCATGGTGATGGTCAGAACCACAACCAACGACGAAGGAATCATGCTAAGTCCAGTAGCCACTGCATATATAATGACTTCTTGCTGACTATCGAATCTGTTCGCTCCGAGAACGATAATAGCGCACAAAACCGCCGTGAAGAACAGGAAGATTGCAAGCCGAGAGAGTTTCCGTTGCAGGGGTGTCCCAACATTAGTCCCAAGAAAGCTTCCTATGAAGGAGGCAATAACCATAAAGACAGCGATGGTATAATTCCAAACACTTGCAGAGCCATCCGACCTGCGTTGCACATTCAATCCACCGGAGCCCTTTTCTCGAAGAGCCGCAGCGATGGACCCGATCTCAGTATGCATGCCTGTGCCGAACACAACGCCCTTTGCCCGTCCCTTTGTCACGGTAGAAGAGCTGTATGCGATATTCAACCGGTCGCCGGGTCCAGTGTCATCGTCGAAAGTGTCTGAAACAAGTTTTCGAACGGGGAGGGATTCGCCGGTGAGTAAGGCTTCATCTGTCTCGAAGTTCAACGCTTCTATGAGTCTTCATCTTATTAATATTCATTCACATGGAGAGCCATTCAGTCGTTCGCATACCTAACATCAGCGGGAATTGTATCCCCCGTCTTAATCTCGACCAGATCACCTGGGACAATCTCCGCTGTCTGTGTCAAGAGTACCTGCTGGTCCCGAACAACGGAGGCCGTGGGCGAGCTCAGCGTGCGAAGAGAGTCCATGGTCTTTTCAGCCTGAAACTCTTGTATAAACCCCACAACAATATTGATGAGCACAACGGCTCCCAAAACACCGCCTTCGATCCAGGCCTTGATACCTAGACTCACCGCAGTCGCCAGGATCAGGATCTAAACCAAATCCCAGTTAGTCAACCTCCTGTGGAACACGCAAAGAAACAGAAAGAAAGACAAACAAAAGTCATGGCGTTAGCCACCTGCTTGAGCAGGACTCTAGCTGCACTCATGGACGAGGCATTCCCAATGTCATTACCCCCGTATTGATCGAGCCGGTAATGTGCGTCAGAAGCTGTCAAACCACTCTGAGCATTTGTGTCCAGTTCATGGGCGACTGTTTCCCAGGCCAGTGCATGGGCTGGGCGGCTTAGCGGTTTGTTGCCGTACCCTGTGACGCCATTCGTACTGGCTGGTGCTTTTTCTTTCGCCATGATGCTGAAATAGGTCGCTGCAGCTTGCCCTCCAAGCCTGACCAAGGGAGTGTTGAATACATGCTGCTGGCACTTTTTATATGTCTCTCAATGTTTGAATGTGCAAGTCACAATCCAAGGACAAATATGCCAAGCAGAAGTAAACACTATACAAGTCAATTTCCATTACTTAATTCTCATATCTCACTCCGCTTGGCTGCCATTTCGGGAATAGCGCACACAATCGCAAGAAACATCGATCGCCCCAGGGTCCTTGGTTCGGGATTCTGACAGGCACTTCCGTCAAGTGTGGGCCTGAAAGTCTACCTCTCCTTCCAGCAACCTCTTCAGGAAGTAAAGAGGAGTGGGGCAATCTCCGATGATTGAATCCTCCTGCTCGCATATAGCCTCAGGACAGGATTGAAACACGCTCTCCAATGACCTTCTTCTCCGCGAACGTTCCTTCCGTCCAGCAACCTCAATATGTAATCTATTTTGTAATCGTACTCGTTGATCGTTCTCGGCCTTGTGTAAGGTAGGTGGGGATTCGGGTAACGAGGTGTCTGCGCTGCAAAGTCCGTCAGCATGTGAGCCAACCAACGAAATTTAGTTTGTTGAGCAGGGATCAATGAGAGAATGCAAGGAATCAGAGGTAAGGAGAAATAGCTAACGGTTGCAATGCCTCTCAGATAGGACTCGGCATGACAAGAGAGCTCGTCTTCGCTTCGCCTTGCGGCTACTGGACTCCAGCACCACGCTGAGGTGCGAGCTCGTCGCTGGAGACCTAAAGACTAGGCGCTCATGGTCCATAAGCCAAGAAGCTAAGGGGTTCGTGAGTCTTAAGCACCTTATCTGCTAATGCTAAAAAGGTAGGTGTGATCTGATCTGCGAATCGCTAACCAGGTAAATGTAGTCTGCTGTCTGAAGACGCGACGGAAGAGGAAGAGGCGCTTATTGCGAAACATCATCCGTTTCTATGTCCTGGTCCATTTCGCCAGGCTGCTGGTGCTGGGCAGCTTGAGCAGGATCGTTCAAATTGAGAGGCCGAAATTCCTCGTTCAGAGCCTGCTCGCCCTCGGGCATCTGCCTTTGGGCTTGCTGGGCCTGCATCTGGGCATCGTTTGCTTGGAGTTAGGCACGTCTCTCCCATCGCCGTATCACCGTACGTGCGTGAGCGGGGAGAGAAAGGAAGAGAGGGGGGGGAGAGAAGCTGGTGGGAAAGGGGAAGAATGCACAGAACCGAGCTTGGCCTAATCGGGGATCAGTCAATGTTTTGACCTGGCAAAGTCTTTCCTCACTTGTGCTCACCAGCTTTTTCGGTGACTGGCATGATGCTAAAGGGCTGGAGTGATTGCTGGTACGTGGGCTCTTGGGTGACTTGAATTTGGCAAAGAAAGATATCTCCATTACTTTCCGTGGTGAGGAATCAAGTTACGGGAATATTCTGGATCTGTGGCAGGACTAGGTCCAAGAAAAGTGATTTAAAGTCCCCCGTGATTTTTACAATGGGGTAATTTGAATATTTCTTTCCCAATATCTCCAACCCGTCTTTAGCACAAGATTCACTGTGATGTAAGCTGGGAGGTTTAAGTTAATGACTCCGGAATTGCAAATTCTTCCCACCCCACTCAACTTCGATCTCCGCTTTATTGCTTGTTATACTAGAACCTAATACTGCTATCATTTCTCCTCGCTTCTCTTCTATCCCCTTTCCCTACACTCGGCCAAGATGCTGCGGAACCTCGTGCGTGAAAGGGTTGATGAGCTGTGGAAGAAGGTCTTCATGACGAAGGAGATAGCATACTCCGAAGACCCCTCGACCATGAATGAGAAATACGATGAAGAGCTTGCTCACCATAATATCACCCGTGTGTCGTTTGACCTGGATGCTGCAGAAGTTGGCACAATGCCATGTTTTCTCTTCAAGCCACCGCAACTGTCTGAGATCAGGGAACATCAGCCCTCAGACGGTAACTCAATGGGCCCTCTGCGCAAGGAACCAATCCTTGCAGAGTCAGACATCAACCTCCTTTCCAGTCCGCATCAGCCCTTAGTGACAGACGTCGAAGAGATGGAGGACTGAGCGATCAAGATGCCCGGGACTTCCCCGGAAAACCTCGTGTCTTCGGCGGGGAGAAAGAACTTCCAGTCTTGATGCTCTCTTTCCTTGTAAATCAATACTGCAGAGCATTCCATGCCCATATGGATAAGAACCGCATTTTAGTAAGAGAGTTCCGGATAAGATAACTTTCACATGTAATTAACTGGTGTTCAAGTCAATCTTTTCGCTTTTTCTATTGGCGTCACATTGCGCTCTTCATCAAATTTATTCTACAAGGAATTCTCTTTATTAATTTGAACAACGCACGCTATCTCAAATCGTCTATAGTTTCCCCCGACCTTCAGTGTGCCGAGGAACAAGAGGACTTGTGATTTCATCGACGGTCTCTGGAGAGATATTGTTGTCGATCGCAACATCGAGATCTCCCAGGAGACAGAGGTTAGTCCTCCGGAGCTTGTATCAAACGGTTTTAGTTTTATTCTGATGGACCTGGAGTCCTTGGATACCCCCGAAGGGCGTTCAAGTATGTCACCGTCGTTCCTTTTTACACCTGTCTCGCCTGAAGTCCTCCATGATTATCCGTTAGAGGAAGAATCTATTTCTTGCTTAAGGTTTATCGACTTTGGTCACCCCCCCCCTCAGAAACTACTAAGTGGTTTCCCTGGACACTTTCAAAGGGCTTGCACACTGTCTGGAACTATTTAGCGTCCTGGACCCTGCACGGTGTGCGACCGAGCCTGCCCTCAAGATTCCGCTCCCTGGCCACGTTCTCTGGCCTTAAGCAAATTCAGTATGTTGCCTTCTCTGACATGGCAAAGCAATCTTAGCTGGTTTTATTAATTGTTATTTAGTCTACCGAATCCATTTCTTCTTTCCAGTGGTCTTGATGGAGATCTTCCCGGAAATGGCACATATACTACACGTACTATCTTCGAGGCGACATGCAAAAATGGTCATCCTACTCAGCCCCACGTCACAATGATGACGAGCCAGGACGTCAACGGCCGAGAGAACGCAGTACTTTATGGTGAGTTGGCGTCAATTATTTCTGCCATGCGGAACCAGGTCTTCCAACCTAAAGTCAAGGAACATGAACAAGAAGCTTTTTTCGAGGGCGAGCCGTTTGCCTCGTACGTTCCCAAAGGAAAATCGTTTCACAGTATTGCTTCTCTCTTTTTTCGGTCCACAACATGCAAGGATCTTATATGCCACTATCCACCAGGGTAGCCACTTGATTATTTCTCAATCAAAGATTTATAGTTTTGAAACCTTCGCCGATGCACCGAATGAATTGTTTGCCCATTTCTGGATGAGCAAGCCAGAAGAACCGGAGAAGCTTGTCTTGAGGTAGAGTGAAAAGGGACTAAGCAAATGTGAAGATTACCGGAGATTGCCTGAACCGTTGAAAAATTTCACTAGGTATGCATATCTTCCACAACTCAACCTTCACTCCAAACGAATGAAAAAGCTAAGTTGCTTAAAATCTGATATAGATTCTTGCATGGTATTCAATATTGCTTGTATATGTAGACAGGATCTACAGGACTCACTGACCTAAGCTCCTGCACGTTGGTATAGATGTCCGCTGAGTTGCTCGGAGCACTGTGACAGCGACCACAAGGAGAGAAAGGATGTATTTGATATTTGCAAGAAGCAAATTGACAAATAAAAATCTACTAATACCGCCTTGACTGTCTAGGATCTTTGACTTGACCAGCACTTCCTAGTATGACTTTTGTTGCCTAGTCAAGCGGAATATTCACTTGGAAATGGGTACCAAGGTCTTCCAGTTCACGTGGTACTTGTAGGTCGAATAGGCCTGTAAGTCGCTCTTCTTTCCTCATTCCCGTCAGACCCTGACTTCTAGACTGTTGGTCTAGTGCCTTAATCCTCTCTTCTGCGTTCCTTCGTATCTCTCGAGCATACCAAGACTTTCAACACCAAGTTCATTCAAAAGGCTATCTCATCCAATACCCTAGATCGATGTCGAAGAACATAGTCAAATCAGCGGCCCCCTATCGCCCTCCGCCCCCACAAGAACGACAGGTTGGCGATGTTGGCAATCGCCGTCGCATGACCTTCCCTACTGATCATCAAGTGAGTCCTTAAGACCCACCCACGCACTGCAAGCTAAGATATTGATCCAAAGTAGGATTCAGAGACCGTCATCTGCCCCTACTGTGAGAGAAAAGGACACATCGAGATCACCTGCCATTGGAAGAGGCTTGATACATTCTTAGTGAGTGTGATTCTCTGCGCCTTGTCCAAATACTATGTGCTATTCGCATATGACGTTGAGAACTAAGAATATATGAATAAATCAGATGGGCGCGCCGTGCTATACCGAGAGGTCTTCGCAACAGAAGCCACAGAGTAACAGAGGAAAAGGCAACTGTGCTCGCCAGCGCGTAGCTCGGGCCCAGCGCCGTCGCAGAAACCTCGAAAACTGCGGCAATCACCAGCAACAACGGCCAGAGGGAGGCAGCGAGAGACGTGCCCGTAACAGAAACAGACAGAGACAGCGCCGACGCTACTATCATGCAAACCCCCAGCTAGGTTCGTTGCCCGCGTCTACGATTCAGTGGAACGAACGGCACCGCGTTTCCCGTGCTGCATATCGAGCAGCTGAGAACGGCGAGGGACAGGGACAGGGACAGTGCGATCTACGGTTAGGTCAAGTTGTCTTCATCAAAGAAGAATCTTCTAGTTGAGGGAATAACATGGGCTTCTCCATAGGATAAAAGTTGCATTCTTTTCGTACTGCCCATTGTGCAGCCGAGATTGGTGAGGAAGAGGGGGTTATCGACACTTGCAAGAGCCAGATTTAAGAGATCAAGATTCTATGCAATAATACCTTTCATATTGTCTTGGAAAAATTCCACCTACCGACCATTTCTTGTAAAAGCCCAAATTCTCTGTTGTCTAGTCAACTAGAGGATTCACTGTAGGGCATATGTTGATGTCTTCCCGATTGGGTAAAACATAGAGCACCTGTAGGTGAAACAGACTTAAAAAATCCCGTACCTCTGTCATCTCCTTCTTCTTCCTTCCGAGCGAGTCAAGACACTTTTACGGAATTTCATCAAGAATATCTCCCTCTATCAGATCTATACCAACGTGCAGGAGGTTAGGTCGGTGAGTCCTGTAGATCCTGTCTACATATACAGCATATCTTCCACAACTCAACCTTCGCTCCAAAAGAAGGAACATTGCCGACGCAGCGGCCCCCTCCGCTTCTTCTCCCCCTCAAGGCCACCAGCCCGGGGATGACGGGTCGCCGTCGTGCCACCACGACGGCGACGGCACGAACCCCCCCACTGCCCACCAAGTGAGTCCCTGACACCCTGTGACATAGTGCAAGCTTTGATACTAAACAAAGAGTAGGATTCCGAGGCCATCGTCTGCGCCTACTGTGAAAGAGAAGGGCACCTCGAGATCAGCTGCCTCTGGAAGCAGTATGACGAGTTTATTGTGAATATAACTCCTAAATCACTATCCAGATGTTACGTTAGAAACTGACAACATATCAACAAATCAGAGAAGCCAGCCGCGCTATGCCGAGCGGCTCCTGTCTCGGCCCCAGGAACGCCAGCAGGCCCAGCATCCTCGAGGACGCAGCGAGCAATGGCTAGCCCGCAGAAGGGAAAGGCAGGCGGAGCGACGTCGCGCCCATCGCGCCAATCCCGAGCTGGCTTTTTTGCCTCCATCTACAGCTATAATGAACGAACGACGTCGCGCTGCCCTTGCTGCCCGTCGCGTCGAGAATGAACAGAGAGAGGGAGAGGGAGAGGGAGAGGGACAGGGGCAGTGATCTGGTTTAGTGAGACATGGAAAAGGTGGAATCGTCTAGTTCAGACAATGAGATCTGTTTCCAAGACCTCTTAAGGAGGCAAATTCCAAATAAAATCCAAATCTAAGTATGCCGAGTCTAATCCGTAATCCAACTGTCCGGTTTCATCCCACGGCCCAAAAGGTGCCATCAGCGGATCCAAAGGTAACGATAACCAATCATCAGAGAATATTGACTCAGGCAAGGGGATGTCATGATCCCATGTACCGGGCTCCTGAGCTGGTTCATTTCCAGCGCGCTCTTCTTGACTCGTCTCCTGCTGAAAGTTCACATTGCGCATGTCATTGCCCAGTCCGAATGTCTGACGTACGCGCGAGACGTAGACCTGCAGCAGAGACGCGTAGCGTGAGACAAGGTGGATGTCATCAGGAAAGTTGGATTGCAAGGCAGCGATCGTTTTGTCCAGCAGCATAAGTGAATCGTGAAGTGTTGATGCTCGGGTGCCGAGGGCAAGAGCCTTGAGGAGGAAGATTGAGCAACTGATGACGCGAAGAAAGATGCGGTGCGGAAGGTATTGAATTCTATGTTGGTTGGATAGTCGAATTACGTGGTTGAGGATTACGCCAGCTCCATCGATGACTTCTGTCAGAAATATGCGGTCTTTCACTGCTGCGTTGCTCGTTTGTAATGTCAGGTCCGATAGCGACAGGGTATCCTCGACGAAAGACTGCATTTCGATGGAGTTGATAAATATGCGAAGGTATTGTGATTCGATGAGGAGGATATCGTCGAATCGCTGTCCTGGTATCTGTCAGCAAAGGTAGGTTGTAGGTGAAAATATGCGTTATACCCGGGGAAAATGACCTCTTGTTTAACCAACTAGAGATCACCTTCCGCCATTCCTCGACCGAGGCGATGTCCCATCGTCGTCGTCGCTGATCGGTCTTTGTAGAAGGAAAGTATTGCTCTATAATCTCTTTCGTCATTCTTGTCAGTTCGACCCAAGAGGCCATAAAGCTTGCCCATTCTCGGTCGCCCCCTGGGCGCAAGAAATCTTCCGGTGTGTCTGAAAGAAGCGACGGGCACCCAATTCTCGCCGCAATGAGATTCACAAAGACAAACAGTAACAACGGGAGACGCTGGCGTCTAGTCTCAAGTTGCTGCACATAGAGATCTGCCTCAGAGCCCATGAACACGTAGTCCTCTTTATATTTTGAAGCTCCTTGTCCGAAGACACCTAGCTCATGCGCCAAGGCCAACGCATTAGAAACCAACATCCAAGACATTCGATCTGATCGCCTCGTCGGCTCAACAACATCTTCCTTCCATCTATCAGACATCGGCACATCCTCTGGTGCAGAAGGAGGATCTCGCAAGTCAGGCGTGGAGAGAATTAGGTCAGAGTCCCAACCATCGTTTTCAGGAGGGAAGTGAAGTGCCCGGGGATACCATTCTGAAATGAGAAGCAACGCTTCAATAGATGACAGATGTCTTGTTTTAGCTTTGGATAGCTTCTCTTGTCCTAGGGCGATGCGTAGTATTAGATGCTGACAATGTTGCCATAGTCGACCGTGGATGAAGTATCCTCGGGACGTACCGCCCACCCCAGGAAGAGTATGGTACCGAGATGAGATCATCAATACCGTACAGCAGAGCATTGGCTCTTGCGTGACAAGCCAGTAGTGATTATGAGGCTTTGCGTAAAATTCTGAGAGAATCGGGGAAAGCGGAGCCATATTCTTGAAGAATCTGGGTGTTTTAGCTGCCGGAATTGGATTGGATGATGCTAACGAACTCACAGATCAACCAGTGTAAAGGCTTCATAGGCTGTGAACCACCCCATCTTGACAAATCTGCATGCATCCCATATCCTCAATACTTCCGTACTAGGTGGGTACTGTAGACGATCCAAATCTCCATAGCCCGCATGGGAGCTATGGTGCCGAGTAGTCCCATGACTTCTCGGTGTTGAATCCACCTCTTGAGCCGCGGCTTGAAAGAGAATGCCTAACGCGTCGTTGCCGCTTGAGACTATGCGATTGAGTCCTGCTGCCAACATGCCATTCTCTTTGATTGTGTCACGAGATGCTAAATGAATGAGTCCACTGTCTTCGCGAGCCAGGAAAGAATGACCCACCTTGTATCGGCAGTTCGTCTGGTCTAGCGTCGGCTGTTTGGGGTGAATTCTGCATGGCAGTACCTAAGCGTTCTGCTGCTCCTAGAGAACTCACTTAGTCCCATATACCTTAATAATAGTGATGACGAGAACCTTTTTCCCCTCTTGTCCACGGCTTCTTTTCATCGAACCGACAATCCAACTCGAGTTTCGCGCAACGGGAGCATGGCTGACGTTGGTCTTCGATCGGTTGGCACTTGACTTTCCGTCGTCTGCATGGGACACATGCTTGATAAGTGCGCGTGTACTCATATTCAATGGCAGCGCGACTACGAGGTGGTCGATTGCTGCGATTTCTAGTTGCTGCGCGAGTTGACATGGTCAAGATGGATGGTTGAGGCGGAAGGCGGAGACGTGGAGAAATGCCGCGGCTGCGGGGAATAACACCGAAGCCCTTAACCGGATCGGGAAGAGCAACAACAAACGGGTTTCTGGGGCAGATATGTTGCAGCCAAGCCACTTTATTTCATGTCATTTCAGGACTAGAACAGCCTGTGGTTTTATATATAGTGTGCCTAAATGGTAGGAATATTAATTTACGTTGATACTAAAGATCCTCTGCACACCCTGCTTACCCATCGCTGACAATCCAAATATATAATGTTGAGTAGAACGAAGCCCCTAGCATCACCTCATCATGTCAAATAACGAAAATGAGGGTTATTATCACCATCACGAGTCACATCCACTCGGACCTGCTCATCTACTATCCCATGTACACAATCCCGACGCTTATTCTCATGATTCAAGTTGAAAAATAGACCAAGCGCCATGATCGCGATAGCGCCAGTCAACGCGCATCCAATCGCACAACCACGGACGTAAAACGGTCTAATACCCAGGTTAGTCTTCTATTCGAGGACAGAGGATAAAAGAGAAAAGTTCACCCCTCGGAATCCGGAAATGCGGAGCTGCTGATAAAGCTCGAACATTGTCCAAAGACGGCCAGAATCGCCATACCAGCCCCCTTCTTGGAATCGCCCCCTTGGTTATTCAATAGCCAGGTGATATTTACTGAAAGCGCCGGGAACACCCCACAAGTCGCCAGCCAAATACCGAAGTATCTTACCCCGGGCTTGGTTTCATCTTGCACCGCGGCTAGAATGAGGTATCCGATCATTCCGACTGTGGCGCTCACCGCGATTACAATTCCTCTTCTTCCCCATTTATCGGAGATAATCGCGGCTACCACGCATAGAAGGAATGAAACAAAATAAGGCGGCGCTGAGAGACCTTGTGAATTGATGGAGGTGTATCCCATCTCTTGGATGATGGTGGGTAGAAAGTTGGACAGACCTGCGAAAGAATAGTTGCAACAGAAGTGAACCAACATGTGTACATAATTCTTGTAATCTTTAAGACCATTGAAGACTTGATTCCATTCCAAACGTGTCTTTGCTGTCATATCGACGGTTTGAAGACGCTCAACTGCTTGGGTTTGTTCACTTTCGGAGAGGAATTTGGCCGTGCCTGGTGAGTCCGGGAGGTAGAAGAAGACAATGACGGAAAATAGGACGGTCGGGGCTCCTTCTGTAAGTTTTCAGTATTTATTAGTGTGGCTTCTTGGACGAAAGAAAGGGACAGTCAAGTTACCAATGATGAACAGATACCTCCAGGAGGAAATCGAATGTCGAATCTGCGTGATGCCATAGGCAAGCGCACTAGCGAAGCAATTCGCAACGGGCGACATTCCTAACAGAATCGAAACACGGAAGCCCAGCTCCTGACGCTGGTAGAATAGAGATAGGAAATACGGAGCACCAGCACCGAATGCAGCTTCAAAAACACCAAGTAGACAGCGACAGACAATGAGCTCCGCCATGTTATTGACAGCGCCGCTGCACATTGCAGCCGCACCCCAGCTGAAAGTGTGTGAGTTCCAGCCATATTTTAACAGGAATTTCTTACCATATGCAGAGTATGGAGATGTATATGTGAGCTGGAAAGATTTTCCACAGGACGGTTGTCCACTCGAACAAAATGTAGCAAATGTAGAATGAGTATAATATCCATGCCCATTGTTGATCATCCAGACCGAGATCAGTATCGAGGCCGGCTGTTTTTGCGTTTCCGATATTTCCTAATTCGTCCAGTTATTGATTTTGTAAAGTAGAATGTGTTTATCCATTAGGTAGCTAGCGTGTACCTCTATCAAGGTACGATAGGATGTAAAGAATGCAGACGAGTGGTAGGACGCGTCGATCAAACTATCAATTGTGCTGGTCAGCGATAACTCGGAATGCCAATCTGTCCAACCTACCTTGCGACGGATCAGGGACTGCTCGTTGGCTGGCACGAAGACAAACTCTGCGCCTTTTCCTCCGTCGTGACCCTGGACATTCTCCAAATGTTGGGAGTCGGTTTCCTTTGGCTCATTCATGGTACTCAGAACGTTTAGTCGACCTTGTGAGACACAATAGAATGTTTGGCCTTGCACAGAACGTTGGGTAAGGTGTTAATAGAAGTTCAATACCACGAAAGAATTTATACCCTGACCTGCAGACAATTGCCCAAATGACATTCCCACATCACTGCCAATGGGATCACGACGATTATCCATGCCCCCGAATCGGCTAACTGTTTCCCCGCATTTCCCGCCGATCCCCATGGGGTCGAGGACTCGATGCAGTGAAACATTGAGGAAGTTTAGCTGTCCACAAAGCCTGGCGCTGCGGATAATCCGGGTGGCGGAAGTTTGGCAACATCCGCACGTAGAAAATACCCGCGACAATGGCCCATGTCTCACTGCCTCTCAGAATTCCTATTTAAACGACAATTTCTTTCTATCTGAATACCACAAATCTTATCGTGCAGATTCAGATTAGGCAGCCTTGTCCTCTTCTATTTGGCTTTTCTCCAACCCAAATCATCATATCCACATCATGTCCCAACCACTCAAGACCACACCTTACCCCTTCCAATTCTCCTCCAACACCCAGGTCGAGGCGCCAGTTAATGGGCAAACGACCGACATTAACGTGCCACTGAAGAATGTGCGGGGCCGAATTCCTTCCGCTCAAGCATCCCAGCTCCGCACCATGATGCTTGAAGCCCACCAAGATCGATCTAAAATCATCGCCCACGCGTGCACATACGACGGCCTCTCTTCTCGATTGGTCGAGGAGACCGGATTCCCTATTGTATTTCTGGCCGGATACGCCGTCGCGAGTTCCTACGGGCTCCCAGACACAGGATATATCGCGATGGCGGAAATGTGCAACAAGATCCAGGAGGCGGTACGCATGACGAGCGTACCTGTGATGGCGGACGGAGACACCGGATATGGCAGCCCCATGAACGTGAAAAACACCGTCGAATGTTTTGCAGCGGCCGGGGCGGCAGGTGTGATGATTGAGGATCAGACGTGGCCCAAAAGTAAGGCCTATTTCCTTTTAGACTGGATATCACCCCGAGATAGCTCACAGCGGCTGACTACTTATAGGATGTGGTCACACAAAGGGTAAATCGGTAGTTTCTCGCGGGGAAGCTTACGCTCGTCTACAAGCTGCCGTGGATGCACGGAATCAGGGACAAGATATCTTCGTCCTGGCGCGCACAGACTCCTTAATTCATGGATGGGACGAAGCGATGACCCGAGCGAAGGAGTTCAAGAGGATTGGCGTTGACGCTGTCTTCGTCGAGGCTCTTCCCGATCGGGACTCTATGAAGCGATGTGTTGAAGAGTTGGATCTCCCCGTGTTTGCCAATATCATTGAAGGCGGGAAGACCGAGAACCTGTCGGCTCTGGAGCTGGCCGACCTTGGATTTTCAGCAGTCGCGTACCCATGGACGTTGGTGGCCGCCAAATTGAAAAGTATTAGGGAGGCGCTGGAAGGATTGAAACAAAGTATGACGACCGGAGCTCCCCCCAAAATACTTGGGTATGATGAAGTCTGCTCCGGGGTTGGATTTAACAGATATTGGGTAAGTAGTTACTTGTTACTTGTTTCTTGGAATCTTTAAGACTGTTTACTAATGTGCAAACAACCAGAGCCAGGAGGGAAGATACGAATACAATGAAGATGGCCTGGTTCATCCCCAGAACGGCGGCGTATAACCTCAAAGATGCTATGTTCAATTTAAGTCGCCAGAAATCGACGCAGGTCAGGGTTTCGTTCTGCACTCTAGAAGGAGCATACAATGAGATCAGTCCCTTAGTTTTCTTCCCCTAATTCTAAATGAAAAACGATTTGAGTTGTGCGTGTCGCTGTTGTTAATTAGCATAACGTCCCCAATGATCCTGTCCCTGTGACATAGTGCAAAACTCAACATCCATCTTATTTAAATACATTCAAAAAATCATCCAAGCGGTGTTTCTCTCTCCCTCTCTCTCAACACCCCTCAAAAAATTGGACAACGCAAATGCCAATACGTACATCCAGTAAAGTAAGAAGCCGTTAATAATGTCAATGAGGAGCCCAAAGAATGTCACCTGGCTCAATGGTCGCGGAGATAACGAGAGCTTGCTATGGCAATCAATCAATCAATCAATCAAAATTCTATTAACCTGATGAAGCCTATCTATTGAAACGACAGGCTATGCAGGCGCTTCGCCGAATGAAGCAGAATCTTGAGCCCTTACGCCATATAAACCCACAAACGCAGTAGATAAATCATAAAGCAACGCAACTAAGCCGGCTGCCACTCGCCTGCCGTAGCCCATTACGTCTCCTGAAGCTGTCTCTCCTTCCGCCTCGTTCTATATAGGTGGTTCGTGAGTGGTATACGTCACTGGTAGCAGTCTGACCCGGGCCGCCCCCTAAAGTTCCATGTAACCATCGTCTTCCTCGCCTAGTTCGAGACCTTCTAGCAGGTTGGTAGGTTCTGGAGCCTCCTCGTCGTCCTCCTCGTCCAGTCGAGCGAATCTGAATTGTTGAAGGAGGCCTGTTTGTTGCATAAATTCGGTGACGTAGCGGATCGCCTGCGGGTGTGACATAACCGCGTCGTAATCCTGTATACGCCTACGCAGTCTCTCTATCTGATTGAGGTAATCCATTATTATCCTCTGGCCGGCCGTATGCAGCGAGCACTCCAGAAGGACGTGCTTAGGGGTCTGGGACCTTAGGTCACAGGCGCACCGGTCGGAGTCGACCTGTTCGATCTTGTAGAGGAAGTGCCTTAATCCTATCCTCATAGTGCGCATCTGAATAATAATCGAGGTGTGCGGCTTACTGAGATGCTCGTAGAGCCGTAAATTCTTCTTGTCTGGTTTAGACAGCAGTCGCCTCGTCGGCCTGCCTACTTTCTGCCTCTCCCACTGCTTTGTCCACTCCGTACGCAAGCGTTGGCGGACATCTCTTTTAGCTGCAGCTGCGAGCCGTATAATCGGTCGATCCCGCGGTCTCACTGAGCTTAGTTTAACTCCTCTAATTGTAGTCTCCTTGGCTGCCTTGTCCGCCTTTTCGTTTCCTTCCACCCCGATGTGAGCGGGGATCCAACGCAGTTCAGCATCCTTCAGGCCCTCGCTCCGCAGGGCCCTAATCCTCCCGTAGATAGCCCGCAGTGCGTACTGGCCTGATGGCTGGCCAGGGTTGCGCACGGCTTGAATAGCTGCCTGGCTATCTGAGAAGACCGTGATCGGGGTAGGCTTCGCCCGATGCAGGGCCATTCGGGCCCCTTCCAACTCCCCCACGTAGACCGTAGAGTCCAGTTCCGTTCCTAGGTGCTTCCTGGCGGTCCTACCTGCTCGAATAGAGACCGCGGCAGCTCCGATCATCCCCTGATAGCCGCTTCCATCTGTATACCAGATCTGCCGGTCCTCGCGGCAGACTCTATCGTGGGTCTGAACTGCCTCCTCTGCCCCCTCAATGATGCACCTTAGGGGCAACTCCCACGGTGCCAGCACATGAAACAGCTGGAAGAGAACAGAGCCGACATAATTACCTGAATGTGGCTCATGAAGTGGCTTAAATCCAAGAAGTACTTCGCGATAGTTCTAATTATTATCGATAAAGTAACCAGTGACTGCCATAAAAGCTTGCTGGAAAGAAGATATTTAACAGTCAAGTACAATTGAAATTTTACTATCTGTCAGAAGTTTATAGAGAACTTGTTGATGACGTTCAGAAACAGTACTTTGTAATTGCTGCCGGGCTATTTTTGCAGAAGGAATCTCAAGCTGCTTTAGCGCACGTTAAACTATTGAAATCAAGTTGTGAAATCCAGGATGTTCAAGAAGCTAAAAAGGTAACCGTGACTCAGTTATAAATCGCAATAGACTAGTCTCCCGGTCCTGTTAGCTGAATGTTGTTACTAGCTGAGGATTTGGTACCTATTAAGATTAGAATATTATCTGATAAGTAGTAGTACTTGCCTTTCGCATAAAGCTTTGGATCTGGTGATTCTTTGATTGTTTGCTGCATGTATTGATACGCTTTTTCATGGTTGAAGTCCCATTTCCAAGCTCTGGATGATCTAAGATTCCCTTGCAATACTTATACATGACCTTCGGTATACCATCTTGAGCCTTAGCCACTTGACTAAAGTGATTCCAAAGCTCAGATGAATGCCATGAATCCTATCGCAGCCGTTTTTTCTTCCTGAAATCAGTTTGTAGCTACTACTTGATATAGTCGTTACTCGTCATATTAGAGTAAATCATGTAGCGATTGATACGATCAGCAGGCACTTTTAAGGGAAGTAAATATAGGAATTAAAGATAAGTGTTGGAACGATGTTATCAACCAGACCAGAGAGGTGGAGTATCTTGACCTAATCCACATACCGCACAGCACCTT